GCCGCCTAACTAAGTTCCGCTATATTATACCCTATAAAGGCACCTATAATGCTAAAGAATTAGCCCGCCTATTCCGCGATAATATCTAGAAACTATACGGCTTACCTAACTCTATCGTTTCTAACTAAGGAACTTAATTTATATCTACCTTCTAGAGACACCTCTATTATATCCTAAATATAAGAGCCTAACTGTTAACTGCCTAGCACCCTAAATCCGATAGATAAACTAAAAGAATAAACGCCGTCCTTAAGTAATACCTACGAGCCTATATATTCTACCTATAAGACGACTAGAGTAGCTAGCTGTCCTCTACTAAGTTTGCCGGTAATAGCTAAGTGTCTAAAATAATAAGAGTCTTACTCTTCTTCGCCCTATATAGGTTTAAACCTAGACTAGGTTTTAAGCTAATCTACCCTAGAGATCGCCCTACTATAAGAGACGCCGCCCTATTCGCTAAACAAATGTAAAGGATCTATAATTTCTGCCGTACTAAGATACTTACTACCTAAGCCCGCTAGGAAGAATAAACTAATAAGATAAGAAGACCTACCCGCCGGTACCGTCCTAGAGAAAAGGTCTAGCTAAATGCCTAGAACATATAGACTCTCCGCCTAACTAAGAAGCTTAACTAGAAGAACCTAGGACCCTTTATAGTTAAACAAATGGTGGGTTCTTACGCCTACGAACTGTAACTACCTGCAACTATAAAGGTACATCCTATATTTAACCTAAACCTACTGCGCCCTACTTCTAAGGATTTCCTACTAGGATAACATTAACCGCCGCTACCTCCTATCGAAGTTAAAGGCGTAGAACAATAGGAAGTTAAGGAGATTATCGACTCATACTAGGACCGCTAGTTAAAGAAGAAGCCCCGCCTTTACTACACTGTTAAATAGACCGGCTATATAGACTATACTGCTAAGCCCGCGGAATACCTTAAGAACGCCGCTAAGCTAGTTAGAAACTTCTACCGACGCTACCCTAACAAGCCTAGACCTAACAAACGTTTCTCCGGAGTTTTAACCTAAGAGAGGGGATACTGTCACGGCGCTTGCCTACAACAAGTGCTGTAGCTGACAGGGTGACCCTGCCCGGGGTCACGTAAGCTACGGAACCGAGGTTCTGCTAGAGAATGATTATGTAGCCTATGCCGCTTCTGTGTTTATAGCTCTTCGAGCTACGTCCTGTCATTAAACCTGCCTACTAGTTTTACTGCCTAACCGTAGATAGCCTGTTAAATAGTACTATACTCTATACAGCTGCTCCTTCTACTATACACCCGACCTGCCCCTATAACAAAGAAGTAGAAGAATAAAGTAAAGAAGAATAAGTAGTAGTATTATATTAGTAGACTATACTATTCTAATCTTCTTTATAAGAAGGAATAACCTTCTTTTATTTCTAAAGTTCTCTCTAATTCTTATAATAATTATTATATAGCTTCCGTTATCCTTTTATAAGTAGGGTCGTATTCTTATAATAGTATAGGCTATTACTTATATTAAGTTATAACTATTAACGGAATTAATTAGTATAGTCCTAAAAACTCTTATAAATATAATATAATTATAAAGAGGATTCTATAGTATAGCTAGTATTTATAGTTATAAGGTTCTACTAGAGAGAGGGTCCGTATTAAAGTCCGATACTTCGTTGTCGTATACGAGGTATATTCTAATATAAATGTCTAGGGTTATTATACGATCGGTGTAAAGGTATAACTAGTATTTAATAAAGAGGTTAAGTATAAGGCTCCTATCTACTAGTAATGACTATAACCTATATACTCGCTATAATTATATACGTAAGCGTCTATCTTACTCCTAGGGAGCAGCTCTCGTAGCGCCGTAGTCCTACTCTTATAAGCAACTCTTTCTACGTAATAAGAGCAGCTCTCTTTGCTAAGACATTCGTACTCTGTCCTTATTACGGGTTCGTAATATTATTCCCCCTTTTAGTTAGCTTCCGTCCTAGAAGCTTCCTAATAAGCTTACGTCACTTTCTAGCCTTCGCTCTTCTAACGATGTCTTCCTCTCTTACTCCCCCCCCTACGCTTTCGAAGAAACGAAATTCTACGAACTACCGGAAGGAACTTATACTCGACGTCGAATAGAACGGTATTAAAATAGTACCTTACACCGCTTACCGAATAGCGAAGGTAGTTAAGGGCGGAGCCCGCCCTAAGTATATTATAGGTCCTCGTTCCTCTAAGTGTTCTAAGTGTCTTAAACATAATCGTAAGAGCTACGATGCATCCCTATCTTATTCCTAGTAGCAAAAGTTGCGTAATACGTAGGAGAAGCTTCGTCGCGACATCGAGTCGCTAGAAGAAGAAGAAGTTATAATCCTTTAGCGGTTATCCTAGGACTAATAGCGTCTTACGGAAAAGTAGATAAAGAAGATTCGTTTACGTAAACAGCTCCGTTAGGCTAAGCGCTATACTAACAGTATAGCCGCCTCGGCGTTAGACGAGCTTAAAGCGGAAGAACCTGTCCCTATCGTTCCTAACTTTCTTAACGTATCTTTTAGGGTTAAGCTTACTAATAGCTCGTTTCTATAGGATATCCTCGAGATGCCTATCTAAGACTAGGGTACTCTTACGGGCGTTACCTTAAATAACCCGTTCGAGGGTCTCTTTCCTCTTAAGTTATTAGGCTAAGAGGCCGCGGTCTAATAATCTTTTTGTTACTAGGGTTTCTCCTTAGGAGGTCTTATCGAGGAAGTCCTTACACTCCTAGTACGTTATCCTATCTATTAGGTTTAGTTCTTTTCTAACCTTATTTATTTTGTAGTTCCTAGCTATATGTCCTTCTTCCTAGCAGCGATAGTAGCGAACGCCCGAGCGCTTCTGGCTCCGACTACGTGTCGCGGTGTTTCCTAATTCTATAGGTCGTAGTCTATACGGATCTTTATCGTACTTTCCTTTCTAATAGTTTTTAAGTCCTAAGTAGAAGAATCTATCCTATCGTAATTCTTATAACCTCTTATCGATCTCTTTTGCTACGTTAATTATTACTACGAGTGTCCTAATGTTAGTGTTTCTAGACAGCTCTATTTTAACGGTATCCTTTAGTCCGAGGTAGAACTATAAACGGAATGCAGCATTGTTCTACTCGAGATCGGCTATATAGCCCTAGAATTCTAAAGCATACGTAGCGATAGAAGTGGTCTAGCGTAATCGGCGTATATATCGGTCTATATAGCTTTCCTTATTAGATATTCCGTATAGATCGTTAAGCTTAATTTCGAACTTATTATAATCGTAAAAGATTTTCCTAGTTTCGGTCTTTAGATTCCCTCTATTTTAGGTGTCTAGCTAGTCTTTTAGATATAGTCGAAATCCTTTTCTAGCTCTTCCGCGTAAGAAGGAGGCGGCGTATAAGACCTTATTAGGCTTATCCTAAAACTGGGCCTAATTAAAGTAGAAGTATAGCTAAACCTATAGCTAGAACGCTTCTAATCGTCCTAGGGTCCTGTCGAACGTCTCCGGCGTAGATACCTTTAGTAGCCTAGCTTACCTAGCACTTCCTAATAAGGAAGTCGGGGTAGCCTCGTTTCCTCCGCTTCCGGTAATCGATATAGCACTTATTTGTTCCGAGATTCCTATTACTAGAATTCTTTGTCGTCGGGGTTTCGGAGTGCTGTCTTGTATAGACATAAGCAATAGACCTCTAGTTAGTGCTTAAAATGTTAAAGTCCGATACTTCGTTATCGTATACGAGGTATATTCTAATGTAAATGTCTAGGGTTGTTATATAATCGGTGTAAAGGTATAACTAGTATTTAATAAAGAGGTTAAGTACGAGGCTCCTATCTACTGGTAATGACTGTAACCTATATACTCGCTGTAATTATGTACGTAAGCGTCTGTCTTGCTCCTAGGGAGCAGCTCTCGTAGCGCCGTAATCCTACTCTTATAAGTAGCTCTTTCTACGTAATGAGAGCAGCTCTCTTTGCTAAGACATTCGTGCTCTGTCCTTATCACGGGTTCGTAACAGTCCGCTAATATTTACTTATTTTAAAGTTACGTTATTAATTACTAGATCCTTACTATAATATTAGTCGCTCTATACTCGATTTCCAGAGCGACGGCGGTATCGATCGTAGTAAGACCTCTTCCGAGGACTATAAGGGGTCCTCTAGCCGATGACGCCGTCTAAGCTACTTAACTACTAGATGTAATCGCTAAATAGAACTTAATTTTAAATTTGCCGGCAGAGTGCCGCGGCTATATACCTTATACTAAGGGCGACCCTAACTCGTCGATCCACTCCGATTACGCTTCCGTAACACTACTAGCAATCTGCCTCATTATAGGGATGACCCTAGCTATAAGAGGTACGACCCTAATTAACTCCATAGATCCAGTGGAACTCCGGTTCAACTACAGACTCTATAGAGTTGCTAAAGAATCAGTGTCTCTATAGAGTTCATGAGGTTGAATTTAAATATGTTTGAATTGGGATCGGAACGAGATCAAATGTCGCGAAGCTGATCCGGTCCCTCGACGTGATCCTGGAATACTTGGAAAGGAGGAGTCGATCAGTGGCACACAAAGAAATCATCATCATTACTCGCGAATCGCACTAGTCATGAGTAGACTTGGGTACAGGCGAAGGTATGAGCGCATGGCGTGTGTCTCACATGCAACGGCATTGGGAACGAACAAAACACCCTTCAGTCCTTGCGAGGTCACATCAGCTGAGCGAGCACCTTCAACGTATGCCAAACGTATCCCGAGTAAACCTGACCTAGCACGAGGGAGCTTGTTATCAGCGACGTGTTGCCGACGGGACTCACAACTTCGCGCGCGGATGCACGATTGCTCGCGCAGATCAACGTATTCCGCGGACGCGAGGCGTTCACCGCGGAACGGAATACACGATTTGAAATGTCGAATCCCATTGGTATACAAGGCTCACGGCCTTGGGATGTCCCTATATTTTCAGTTATATCGCACTTTAGGGTCCAGAAACCCGCGCATAGTTTGCATCATGACTGGAAAACAAAGCATTGGCTCGCTCACCATTCCCTGGAGTCCCACCGTAGGACCCGAGAATGAAGAATCCTGTTATCCTTACAGAAGACAAGTGCCTGGCACTACTACAATTCCGCCTGGTTGGACCTTCGCGAAGGGGAGAAGACCTGTAGAGGAACCATCAATTCATGAGGAACGTGTATCTGTCCCTCTGAGGGATGGCGTCAAGGTACATGGATATCGATATCGATCGCGGGTGAATTTGGTCTGGATGAGCTCTCTGACCCAGGTACTAGATCCAATGCGATGTCTTCAGACCCGAGACCGACAAGAAACTTCCTGCCCTGTTGGCCGTCAGTCCTTACGGAAAGAATGGTCATGGTATGTTCCTTGGTCAATCTTTCGAGTGCTTTTCTCCTAATCCTACATGCAGGTTTTCGGATCTTTGACAACATCCCGTTCAGACTCGGGCTTCCTGAAAGCTCTACATCTGGCCTAGAAAAGTTCGAAGGGTGAGTCTAATCTTGATGTAATCTAGTCAAGACTGACTCGATCAAGATAAAGACCTGATCCTGTGGAGTGGTGTCCGCGCGGTTACGCGATAGTCAACGTGGACATTCGAGGTTCATGCGAAAGTGAGGGTGACCTCTATAAAGGAAGCCAAATGGGTAGGCAACACTCTCGATGTTCGAGGTGAAATCACTATGGCTCGCAACTGAGCAATGGGCCACTGCGATCCAGAAGCCTCCAGCACTCAAGTGCATAGCACCTTAGGAGGCATTCGCGGACAAGTACCGCGATCATTTGTGCCGCGGAGGTATTCCCAAGACCAAATTTGCATCGTTCATTTTTAACAAGACGATTTGTGCCCGTAGAAACCGTGAAGATATCAGCAAAGCTCTCGAGCAGTGGCCCTTCATGAACGCCTACTGAGAGGATAAGATTTACGCCACAACTGAACTCACCCTCCCTATCTATGCTTTGGCTAGTTATTCTTCGGGAAATCACGGCTCGGGCACTGTCAGAGGTTTCAACAAGGCCCCGTCCGGCAAGAAGTGAATTTGCTTCCACTCGACTCAGGAGTGGTATGACCTTTACACCCCAAAGTACACCGATGATCTTCAGAAGTTCTTTGATCGTTACTTGAATAACATCGACAACGACTGGGAGAGCACACCCAAGGCAAGAGTTTTCATCTTGACATATGGGGACAGAGACGAGCCTGTAAGCATTTTTCAGATCTCATGGGCAGTGGAGTGTGCTTACAAGATTCTTAGGGGGCCCTCGAAGACGTACCATTTTCAGCATTTCCGCCCAAGTAGACGGAGTATCAATCGTTGTATCTCCAGAAATCGGGTGCCCTGTCACTCATGAAAGAAAAGGATGTGGTATCTGTCGAGCATGTCGCCGATAGCTACCAGACCAAGCCCTCTGAGTTTCTATACACCTTCGATAAGCCGACAAATGTAGTCGGTCACTCGAAGGCGGAGCTCTGGATGTCGTGCTACGATTTGGATGACATGGATGTCTTTGTGTCGCTCCGAAAAGTCAGTAAGGACGGCAAGGACCTGGAGCATGTCAACGTACCCTGGCGCTCCCTGCCTGCAGAAGTCGACACGCAAGATGATGTTCCCATGGCACAAACAGTCAAGGTAATACGGATGCTTCGATTGATTATCATCACCCTCGCTGACTCGTTTTTGTGTAGTACACCGGACCTACTGGCATACTCCGAGCTTTCCACCGCGCTCAGGATCCTGAGAAGAGCACCTCTATGGTTCCGCATCACAGTAGACAAGGTGAGCGAGTCAACCTCCACACACCTAGTGGCAACGTTCAATCAGGAGACTCGGCGCAAAGCCTAGCCCAAATGCGTATTTGCCACGGTGGAACTCGCACTTCAGTGAGATTTGTTATACAATGAGAACGTCAAGCTTCCAAGCAAACAGACAGTAGTGATTTATGATGTCAATTCCGAAGCGTAGTCTGATGTAAGCGCCGGGGAGAAATGTACTTAGCGAACCCGGAATCAGCCGCGGAAGGAAGAAGTCGGTGTTTCCGAGGTTTCCGAGCCCTTCCTTCGGCCAATCGGGACATTCGAGATCCCGACACGATCCGTCTGCATATGGTCTCGTAGTCAAAAAAATTCCAGTCTCCAGCGCGAACAAGCAATTCTGGGCTTACGGATCTTTGGGAAAATGCCTGGACAGACCTTCACGACCACTGAGCAGCCCACGCCGGGTTCGAGCGAGACACTTGAGACAACACCAGTCCTGGTAGTTGGTGCTGAACCAACAGGTCTATTACTCGCCTACCTGTTGTCAAAGCTTGGCATCGAGTCCATTGTGATAGAGAAATATCCGGAAAGATTGGGTGCCCCCAAAGATCATGCTCTCTCGCCTCGAAGTCTGGAAATATGTCGCCAGTTCGGTCTCGATACCATAGCCATTCGCAAGCTTGGAACCCCACGCACTGATGCGTACTGGGTCAACTTTGTCACAAACTTGAGTGGGGATCAGGTTGGTAGACTGCCATATGAGAGGATGGGCCCCGCGACTCTCAAGGCTAACCCAGAGATGATACACAACATTCCGCAGCCAGTGTTCGAGCAGTACCTGACGGATCAGCTTTCCGGCGATCCTAGAGTGGAACTAAGGACAGGTATTGCATTCATTACCTGCACGCAAGATTCTGGAGGTGTCGTATCAATTGTCGAGGGCTGTTCAATCAGAACCAGACTTTGGATTCGATCGCAACAAGTGGTTGGCTGTGACGGTGCAAGGAGTCAAGAGCGAGCAGCTTTGGGAATAGAGTGCGACGGCGAGGGTTCATGCAAGTCTTGCTCAACTAGTCGCGCTCGGAAGTTCTATGCTAACTTCGTATAGACGAAACGATGATGACAATTCCCCTTGATGCTGATCTGCGACCTATCTTAGGTGATCGTGTGGGTATGCTCCACTTACTCTATCCTGAGCTACAGACCCTGGCTTCTTAGCCGTAAGGTTGCAAAACAATACAACATTGCAAATGTTCTCCTGTAAGTCCTGGTCATATATCAACACAGGGGGCGACAACTGATACGGGTTGAAGTGCAGGCGACGCTGCTCACTCTTTCCCACCAACAGCAGGTCTCGGGCTCAACTCTGGTATTGCGGACGTTCATAACATTGCGTACACGATCGCTGCGGTACAGTAGGGCTGGGGCGGGCCGTCTTTACTCCGTCCTTATGATAAGGAACGAAAACACGTTGCGGAGGTGAACTCGAGACAAAGCGTCAAGAATGGCAAGCAAATCTTCTCCTTATTAAGAGCGATAGGCGCATCCGATATGAACGACGTAGAAGGGGCCCGCAAGAATCTATATCGGATCATAAGGAATCCAAACAAGCAGATCATGATTTCTAATCACGCGGCCCGCGAATACTCCACACTGAATCTCTGTAGTTTCTCGGGCTTCACCCTTATCGTTGGTAGACGACAAGAGTGGTTCCAGAGATTTTCAGCGCTGGTTGCAACCGACGTAGGACCGAGGATTCAAGTCCAGCTCTTTTCCGCCAGCGATGATTTCGAGATCATATCTGACGAGCACAGTGACATGTTCGAAGAAAACATAGGATTGAGCTCTGGTGCTGGTTTAGTCATAAGACCAGATCAGCATATTTTGACGCACCTTGCAGCGAATGTCTCCGTCGAAGAGATGCAGAGGATGTTGCTGGAAGAACTGGCTTTATAAGATCTCTATCAGTGGATCTGTTGCTCCGAGGTAACTAGTTACGACCACGAGGGAATCTGCACCATGTACCCAGCTTAGTCCCATTGCGCTTTATGCAACACTGTACAGCCTGGGTTCTATTTCGTGCACCCACCTTGCCCAATCCATATATTCTTCTCCTCTTCCACCTTCACGCCGTGATTACACATCTTCGTACACAGCCTCAACATGATAGCAGGCCATAATCTCTTCCCGATCTCATGATCGTCGAAACATTCGTACGCCTCCCTCTTCACCATAGCATCCATATCTTCCGCAGACATCCTCGTAAAATCCTGAGCAGCTGTAATGACTTCTGCTTGACCCTCACAAGACTCGGCTAATGCGTATAGTTGATCCGCAAGGGGTAAAACTGCGTCTACGACCTTCACGACTTCATTCCCGAGATGTCCAAAGAGTTCGATTTCAACTGCCAGAAGAAAGGCGAGGTGAATAACGATGATTTTTTCGACGACCAGCCATTCGGGCAAGAGCTTGAGTGCTGCGGTTTTCTTCCGATTAACTTCAGCGACCGGTATGTCGGAACCTTCCCACGAATCACACAAGTAGTCCAACATGAACGACGCCTTGCCATTCAGTCTCTTCGCCTCCCTCGCCAAAGACACCAAAGGTTGACCTTCTGTTGTATACCCCTAATCAATCTGATGCCCAACATTCCAATTCAAATGCGTAAAATCTCTGACGCGATCATGTCGCATTCGTTTTCCGAGTCATTGCATATCTTGCACTTGCTACGAACCGCTGCGCGTGTGAGTCTCAGACAGTATGTAAGCTGTCACGCAGCTTCGATCTCAGGACCGCGCAACACGCTCACTGACGTGCCACAAAAAGCAGTCCGCGAAGAATCGAGTCGGTCTGGAAGATTTAACTTGTCGAGTTCTCCGAGCCTATTCTCACGATGCTCACAACGCCTCGCGATTTACACGTCATTGTCACCATTCCTGCCTCTGCTAATACAATCAGTCGGGATCCTGGAGGATGCACTTACTTCAATCCCTGAGTCACGGCGACTTATGAAGCCTTCAAGTCACGGGCGTACGACTGCCAAGTCGTCCAACTCACACGCTTTGGGGTGTGAATCCGACGCTAGATTCATCGCCAAGAGCGCCATATAGGAATCCGCCAAGGACCCGGATCATTGGTGGGCGATCCTTGCTGCTAAGGTCGCCATTGACCTGGCTTGGCCTTCATCATGTCTAACTGTCATTTTGCAGAGGGTGTCTTACAGAAAACATAACAAAGCCTGCTAGTCCCTGGTATTCTCTCCACCCATTTTCCCAGGCCCAGAGACCCATCATGCATCTCCTTACCGTAGCATCCGTATTTCTCTTGTTCGCATCCACGACTCTCGCAGCGTCTTGTTCATCATTTGCTCAGTCAGGTCAAGCCTACACGCAACCTTCAATCCGCACTCAAATCATCAGCAAAGGCCTTCTCTGCAACTCGACAGCTAGCGACTGCCGAGTCCCTATCGGCGGCTACGTGACCGATGAACGCACATTAAACATCACAGTCGACTCCCCAGACTCAATCTTCGAGCTTATTAGCGATACCGTCAATATCGCGTTCAACGAGACTGCCGTCACTACACGGGTTGGTGACACAGGCCCAAACGGTGTACCCCAGACGTGGCCTGTTCAGAACGGTACAGCAGGCTACGTGGGCTTCACCGCGAACCAAAGATGTGTTTCTGGCGTACTCTCCGGTTGTGAGGACGCTCCTTTGAACAACACTGCCGTTGAAGCATGTACACCGATCTTGGGTGTCGGTGATCAGCTTTCCGGCACTATCGCTACCATCACGTCGGATTCTGTAGGATTGACTTGCAATCCTGCCAACACAACCAAGGCCAAAAATGGAAACAACTCCAATAGTTGTACTGGTACGGAGGATCAGACTGGTATGGGTGTTGCAGATGGGCTGAAAGGCGGCTCGTTGGTCCTGCTGCTTTCTGCCTTGTTCGTCGCTATCATTGGCATTTGAAGTTGAACATCAATCCGTACCGCAGTGCCTTACGGCCCATAGTCATCGTAAACTGCAGGGATACCCCAGCGGTGGGACCAGTGCAGACTCAATGATCAGCATCGTGCAGATAACAAACTGACATCATCAAATCATTGTACCTCTCGAGATATCTCAGAGCCCATTGCCAAGATACTGCTAATCCTTGAACATGGGCTTTCCTTCCTGCCGCCAGTTACTAAGAGATGCCATCCACTTTCCCGAGTGAAAGTTGGGGTTGCCGGGAATTTGACTGCAAGTCATCACCGAACAAGGAACACAAGTAATGTTAGCCTCGCTATCCAAGCGATGGAACAAAATCCAGCCTTCTTTGTTTCTTTTGTAGAAACGTTCATCGAGAACTGCAAGATATTCCCTTCCAATCTCGACGCCTAGTGGAATGGTTTGAAGGTATTCAAAAGCTTGTGGCGGTAAGGTCTACAAGCCAGAAGTTGTGCGAAGGTTTTGTCTCGTTGATGGTGTCAAGTGCCTTGTTGAGAGACTCGATGGAAAGTCAGCATGGAACGCGTTAGATGCGAAGATTTGCTCGTACCTCAGACGTGACATCTTGAAGCGAAGAAAGAGCCCAGAGGCCAGGTTTGTCATTGGTGTCGTTAGGGGGGTGTATGCTTGCCTTGATGGGCAGAGTTAGGGAAGCTGTGTCTGGTCCATGCTGATATGGCATACGAGGAGTGGGAGCGTTGGTACGGGCCATGGTAAGGTACCATTGTGTTAGAGTTAAGGTGCTTGACAAAGGTAACTGTTGAATCTATTCGCTTTCCTCGCAGGGTGAAAAGTAAGGCCTTTCCATTTTCTATGCGTCCCGGTATTCAATCGTATCTGCTTGAAACGCGACATGACTCGAGAGTTAAGGCTGCCACAAGACTGGAGATGACCATGATAGCAATAGCAATGCTTGGTTGTTGCCGATATACACTTGCTACTTACGATCCTCTACACTGCTTCGAAGAGGCTACTTCGCATGTTCGAGGCGGATAGCTTTGCTACTGTGTTGTCACATAGGCAGTAGCTGGCGCACGGTCCACACGCGCCCGTCTCTCTATATACAAAGGGTCCCATTTCGAGATACCCACCCACCTTCTTCCAAAAAACACTTCCTCGCGCCACAAATCCTAGTGATGTCTTGCAGGCATAAGGTTCTAGTAAGTGAGCCATCAAGAGTGGCCAGGCACACGGGCTATCACCGACCAGATAGGGCAGAAAGAGCACAAGCATCTGGCCACGCGCAGGACGCGACTTTTGATGACTCGGACTATCCAGGGCCGCTAGTGTTATCAAACGACGAGATTGATGCGGACCCTGAGTACCCTGCGCAGAGCCTGAAAGACTGGCAAACCTTAATCACGCCAAAGTCTTTGCCATCAGAAAGGAAGAAAATATATGTCGCGTCTCCACCTTCGCAAACGCATGCCTTTGCGAGTATCGCCGCAGAGCAGGCTATACAAACTCATACCCCGCCGCCGAGATTTGCAGATATCATGGTATATCTTACCGCATTCTATCAAGGCTTTGAAGTTGCCGAGCTTCCGTCGTACACTCTGACTTTCGACAAGTGGGGCGAAAGAGACACCGATCAGCAAATTAAAACCTGTGTCGCCTTGAACACGCCTGAAGAAAGCATACGAATTAGGAAACGGCCCATCTCAAACAAAGTTCATCTATCACAACTAAATCTCAATGACCTTCTGGATGTCGCTATTGCCGTCCTTCCAAGCGATGCTCTTGCTTTGATCCTTCTGATGGGCTTTGACTTGTACGAAGATGACGACGACGAATTTGCCTGTGGTCGCGCATATGGTGGCAGTCACGTCTGCGTCGTCTCAAGCTTTCGATACAATCCTTACCTCGACAAAGAGCTCGGAATCGATCGCAGTCATATTTGGCCAGCAAGTCATTGTGCGCGATACGTGAACGCTGAAGTCGACAAGTACATCGAGAAAGAATCAACATATGGCAAGCGAAAGCGTGAATCTGCCATCGATAGCTCCACCACCACTCTTGGATCACCTCTAGCGCAAGCAGTCGCGGCGTGTGGTCCTCAATCATTCCCCTCGCTGTGGCTAGAACGTGTCTGTCGCACTGCAAGTCATGAGATTGGTCATTGTTTGGGTATCGATCATTGTATGTATTACGCTTGTATCATGCAAGGTAGTGCTTCCATAGCAGAGGATCTTCGACAACCGCCATATCTATGTCCAGTTGATGATGCGAAGCTTAATGCTTTAATAGCAGCACGTGGGGACCGCGAGAAAGCTAGTACAGCAATGCGAGAAGATGCCTTGATTGAGTATACGCAACAGTATCAGAGCTCCGGTGCTACCTACTTCATCGCCTTCCAAGCGTGGCTGATAGCTAGGAAGGAGATGAGAGAGGAAGTACTCAGTCGTCACAATGCATCGCAAATGGAACATCACGAGCAAGTTCGTGCTCCAAAACAAGACGCTGTAGGTAATGCGCAAGTCACGGATCCAAATCAACAGCCAAGGAGGAGTCGACGGCTCGCATCCCAAGCTTGATCATTGGAGATCCTTGGAAGGATTCCTGACGTCAGCCCGCCTGACCCCATCCATACCTATTGAGGGGAACATTCAGCGACAGTTTCCTCTAGGCAGCATTATTAACAATCGCTTATCTGGCTTCGAACAAACGATTGATGAAGCTTTGAGTAGATATTATCGCATCAGCGAGTCTGTCAAGATGACGACGTGTGGATATCTCCTGTGGAAAGCGCTACTGGCTGTCGCTCTGCTGTCGGCGCTGTACTCCATCTGCTCGCCGTGGCGGCTCGCCTTAGATCTAGGATGTACGCAAGGAGAGATGCTGGACGACTATCGGAATATTCCACCAAGCAGTAAGCTCGAATGGTACCCTTGCTTTGAGGACTTTCTCTGCGCCAAGTTTCGAGTTTCGATGAACCACAACAGATCGATGGCGCTGTCAGATGGCGAAGGCGCGGTGGTAGACATTGCACTGATCATGGTGGGTTACCAAGAGTACGTCTTGCATGAGGATCGATCTCTGACATTTCAATGCAAGTTACCTGGACGGGATCATGTCAAGCATAACAACTACTCAATCTCACCCCTCATTGTCAACCCCGGCGGCCCAGGAGCTAGTGGTGTTGAGTTCGTGAGGCAGCTCGGATGGGCGATTCGGAACATCACCGGCGATGATCAAGATATAGTTGGCTTCGACCCAAGGGGAACTGGATACACCAAGCCAACAGCTGATTGTTACACTTTCTCACCCTCGGATCTGCCAGTCACAGATGCCGAAATACTGAGAGGTGAATATAACAGAGTTCAATTCATCATTGCCAACGAGGAGTTGGGACTTGTCAATTCGAGTCAGGGAGCATTGAGACAACGAGACGAAGCGAACAGAGCGGTGGCAGAGCTCTGCAAGATGAAAGACGAGATCGAGGGAGATGGAAGTATTTTGCGATATCTTGACGCGCAAAGTGTGGCTAGAGATTTGCTAGCTGTAGTTGATGCTTGGGGTAGATGGCGCGACACTCTTTTCACGAAACAGGATGAACTAGAGGTTGAGGGGAGCACAAAAGGTCAATTGGTCTATCTTGGTTACTCTTACGGTATGTCCAAAGAACACATTCGCATGCTCTACAGCGCTGACTTTTGACAAGGGACTTGGCTGGGAGCAACATTTGCGGCAATGTTTCCTGATCGTGTAGGCAGGATGGTCCTGGATGGTGTAGTCGACGTCGAACAAGCTCACGAGCCCTTTCCTTTGACCACGCTCAGAGACACAGACAAGGTTTACAGTCTCTTCTTCATTTACTGCGCTCAAGCGGGGCCGGAAGTTTGTGTCTTTGCTCGAGACGGCGACTCAGTTTCTGATCTGCGAGCTCGCGCCCGAATGGTCATGAACAGGTTGGAGCAAAACTCATTATTTGGCGTGAACACGCGGACCTACACACCATCGATAGTGACTTGGAGCATGATTCACTCTATCACTTTTGGGACACTTTACAGCCCAGTCCTACTCTTCCCTCTCCTCGCAGCCTTCTACGATCTGCTCTACCGAGAGGAATACCACACGATCCATGCTAGTCTATCACAGCTTCGCGACAGAACAAAGCCTTGCACATATTGCTCAAGTCAATCACCTTCATCCTTTAACGTCGGAGATGCCGCGACAGCGATACGATGCTTAGACTTCCGACCTCTAAACGATACACTCGCAGGACTGGAAGATCACTACCACAACCTATCTCGCATCTCGGACTTTGCAAACGTCTTTATGCCAGTAGGAATGTCGTGTAATACCTGGCCCATCCGTCCTGCAACACCACAACTCCCTCTTTTCACCTCTTCTGCATCCATCAATACTTCCTTCCCCTTGCTCTCCATCAGTAACACCCATGACCCAATCACACCACTGCAAAATGGGATTACAATGGCCAAACGCTTCTCGGGAGCTGGCTTCATAGAGCAGATGGGAGAAGGCCATTGCAGTTTTGCTGAGATCAGTCTTTGCACGATTGATAAGATGAGGATTTATCTAAGACATGGTATTGTGCCTGCAGCTCCAAAGTACAATGACGTAGAGGATCTTGGGGATGGTTTATGGGATAAATGCGAGGTCGATGAGAAACCTTGGAAGCGCTTTGATGATGAGGTGTCTGTGAGGAGTGAACGGGATTCCAATGCCGCTGCTGCATGGAGAGATGTTCAAGCATATATGGCGAGACAGTTTTCTGATCGGAGTTAGTAGAAGTGGCAGACTACATCAGGGAGATCGCCGTGGGACCTCCCCTGATAGATGATACATCCAACTTATGGCTAAGCTCTCACAAACATAGCTATCTCGATCTCAGTTGTTTCTGGCAACAAGTGTTACATCGGAGCATGAGAAGCGTTCAGCACGTGGTGCGATACGTATAAGACCAGTCAAAGCAGATTGCATCACCATTAGTCAGTTCTATTCTGCTGTCATGGATGATCAATGAAAAGTCGAAGCGAAAAAAGATTGATGCAAAGATGAATCTGCTACTTCTAACGAGCGTCCGAACGACTGAGCACAAAAGACCACGAAGCGAAAGCTTCAGATCAAAACAACAAAGACACCTGAGACCCACAAACCCGCAGACTCCCCCAATTCTTGACTTCTTGCCTGGCTCTTCTACTCCAAAACCTTGCCAGAGATTGCAATCCTGACGGACACTCGAAGCACCCATTTGACCCTCTAACAATCAAACTCGCACCAAAGATCAAACTCATGTCTGAACCCATTACTAGCTCTAGCACTCTTGTACTTCCAGTTCTCACACTCATGCGAGTTCCAGTGTTGATCACCATAGTTCATAGTAAAAGAGTTCCTCCAAGAATCGTGAACAAGACCATTGGGAATGCTTCCATCGATCAAAAGCTCAGGACCTCTAGTAGTTCCAATCTTGATCTGGTAGTCCGGGTTGGTAGCACTCCAGGTGCCGACAGCAGACCAGTCGAAGGTTTTGCCAAAAGCTTGGGCGGGTTCGGAGTTGTCGAGGAGATCGATGTTGTATTTTCCGGTGCAAGAGTTGCCGCAGAGACCGTTGGAGACTGTGGGAGGGGTCAGTTGGGCATATGAGGGAACAGTTTGGGTATTACTGACCATCGTAGTGGATGTGAGCTTCACACTTGTTGGTGTTCTTACGACGGACGAGCGAGGAGCTGGACTCTTCCTTGTCGATGATGGTGGGTGCGGCCATAGTAGCAACAGCCAGGATGCTGGAGATGATGATGTTCTGGAAGGCAACCATGTTGAACGATGATGAGCTTGAAGTATTTGATTGTATCGTTGTTGTTGATTGTGTAGGTAAGCGTTGTTGTTCTGTATGAGCGAGATGATGTGAGTGTTCAGATGTTTCTGAGATTGACTGCTGAGTCCATTTCTTTTATGTCTTTGATCTTGCTCTACCGGTAAGTCCTCTGTGACAGCTGATGCTTACCTCGGCACGGGGCACACAGTAAGGAATGTAGGCTGAGAAAGTTGTCGCAAATCTATTCTGAGATGCAGTATAGAGGATCTGAGGATTGTCAAAGGATGGACACCGCAGTCAAGAGGAGCCATACTCGTGTTGGTGTGTTGGAGTGTTGGACGAGTCACGCCCTTGGAGTTGAACCATGCACATGATTTGCTTGGCCTGCTTGCTTAAAACTGCAAGCGCTCGGCGATATGCTCTAATTCACTGCCTTCAGCAACGAACGATTATAGTATCAACATGGCTCCAGACACGCTGTGCATCCGCGTTATCACAGCTGGATGTTGTAGAGCCGTCGTGAGGACGGTTCCTGGATCCTGAAACACTGCGCCACTCTTGGCATGCTGCAGTACGCTCGTAGAGTACCTACTGTTGCACCACCCACCAAGCGGCTGAGGCTGGAGTAAGCTCCGCAGTGCTTGCATGTGGAGACCCCGCATACAAAAGTTCGTGGATACGAAAATAGCACTCCAGCGATCCTCGAAGATCAAGCCAAGCCATCAAGTCTGGGCATCCTAATGCTGTTTTCACCAACCAACTTGCTTCTGCATCGATTTGTCAGGCGGGCCTACTTCGACAATGCTACCTTCATCCATCACGACAACTCTGTCGCAGCCTTGGAAGCTGCTCAAGCGATGAGCAACACTGACGACAGTGTTCTCCCTGAAATCGAGCATTTTTGTTTTGTTGCGAAGCCTATTTCTTGCATCGGTGAAACACAATTGCCTCTCCTTATGCGATGGCTCATGGGTCATCGGTCAGCTGAAGCCCACGCGAGACGCATCGTATGCATCGACTTGCTTCATAGACGAGGACTTCTGTAGTCGGCAGATCCACCCCCGTAAGCACTTTGCTCACAAGCGAGTTATCATGCGTCCACTCTATAGAGTTTAGTGAAAGGTTGCGGAGATATTGCTGACAGATCCATTTTAATTGCCCTTGCTTGAGTGGGAACAGCGGAGTCAGAGTTTTGTTGCCGAGGAACGTGGCGACTAGTAAAGCCAGATTGCTCAACATCAGCCATGAGCCCTGGGTGAGAGCGTGGCTGTAATGGTCCGCGAAAGATTCAAGTCCCTTTGGCTCTGCCGAGCGTCCGTAGAGACCATACATCTCAGCCATATCATGACATGAGGGAAATTTCCACGTCTGGTCACTAAAGTCTGCGATTGATCCGACTCTGCTTCTGTTGCCAAGACAGAAGGGGACGGATGCGCAGATACCGTCGACTAACCATTGTATCCGTTTCACAAGTACGTACGCGCCACTTTGGCTTGTATCTGACTCGCCTGACTCAGGCGTCTCGGGACTGCGGTGTTTTTGTCCTCTGATGAGCTTGAGAGATGTTATCGCAAGAGTTAGGCGATGAGCCCGCCAGTCGTTCATCCGCCTCGCTGCAGTCACTGATGTGTATATCTGACAAGTTCCTTGGAAGGATTGTATCGGTGGAAAGATGATTCCAGGAGGAGTCCAGTTATACGGACCCCAGAATGTCGATACCTGGCCCTGCCACAGGATAAGTCGCTCGTCTAGTCTCTGGATGTCGTCCAAGAGCGTATCGACCTCTGCGAATGATGAGCATAGACCTGTATCTCCTTGCAGTGCTGCAGCTCGATATTGTATATCGGCGACTTGGATTCCCAGAGTGTCCAGATACCTACTAGTGTCATCCGAGATGGTTTCGATGACCGCTCTCCAGTAGCAAACCTCGGGGTGCACCTTGCGCTTTTCGCGAATAGCAGCTGTGACCTCGAGATGAATTATGCAACCAACGAACTCGCTAGCTGTGGCCGACCACGTCGAAGGATGACCGAACTCTCTGACCAGCGCGAGTGCACCAAGGTGATGTACACTTGAGCGTTTCTTCGCAAACAACAAATTCTCGAAGGTGGATTGAAATTGTAGCAACATGATGCTTAACAAAGTGACGTCAGTCTGTTTTGAGTTCTGCTTCTGGAGATCTTCCGACAGGCTTTTGACAGCGTGGCCTATGACATTAGGTACAGGTTTGGCCAAGTTTTGATCCATGCGCCATTTCGAATATATCGTCAAGGCTACGGCAGAAACTGACATGGCGGCTGCTGAAGTGCGGGACGCAGAGCATGCTGCCATGACATATCCAAAAAGTCCAGGATTAGGTCCACCATGAGCATCTGAATCCAGAGTATAATGTCGCACGAAAAATGTGAGCGCCCGCGTCTCCAAATCGTCATGTAGAGTATTCTTTAACTTTGTCGACGCATTGATCTTGCTCTGTATTTCCTGAGATGGATGGCGTGCAGCAATAGCCTGGCTCATGTCCACAAATTGTATCCTTTCGACAGGTGTGGGCCAGCTGCAATCAATTTTCGCCAGGGTACATCTTGCGCAGGTAGGCCTTTTGTGGTCGCATTTGACTCTTCGTCGCTTGCACGTCAAGCATGCAAGAGGCCGTCTACTACTTCCCATGGCGCATCGATCCAGATTTGATGGGTGAGCATGCGGTTTATTGTGCAGCTGAATGTGTCACTCCAATGTGATCGGTGGGACGGTTCCTCAGTCGACAGGATTGTCGAAGGCAGCGACGTTGACACAAGCTAAATGGGCGCTTTATGTATCGCATGAAGAAGGCCATGTTATTCGCGGTTAAGACGGAGAACTTGTTTTGACTCAGGGGTGTGGGTCTCGAGAGTCGAGAAAGTTTCTAGACGACGCGTTATGTGATTGGTGAGATGTCTCGGCTGTCAACTCTCCATCGATCAATTAAGGTTGGTCTACGCAAACGTCTTTATTGAGCGTCGCGGACCTTCGATCATCCGCATCCTGGAGAACAGGGTAGCCCACTCAGCATTTCTATATCAGGTCTAAATGCATTGACTACGCTACCTCCTATCTTGATGCCTCTGGTAAAGCACTTCAATAATGTTTACAGACGCTTCTTATTGCCGCGTAGTATTAGAAATCCAACGCGCACTAAGTCCGAAGACACGTTGGCAGATCGCCATGAACGTGGGCATCTTCACGGAGCAGTCCCTGAAGACAACACATTGTTGTGCCGGAACTCATGCTGTCATCGCTGCACTATTGCAACTTTTTGACCATTCCGCACAGAGACAGCAACAGTACCCTCGGAGGGTCATTCTATCGTCCTTTCCACTCCATAAGCCCCATGAATATGCAGATATGTATATCCTAGCTGTAGGACCGGAGCAAGAGCTTATGGAACACGACTTCTGGCCATTCGGGAAAGAAGATTTGACAACCCGCACCACCAGCAAATCCTTCTGCGTCATCACCATTGTTAAAAACAAGAACGCGTCCATTCAATAGTGTCGCTTGCGCATTCGTCGCTGCGAGATCGATCATGCTTGCATAGAGGGGGTCGACATCAGTACAAGTTGTAATGCATGGATGTGCCCGTCGTCACGTCATATGGAAGTAGGTACGCCGAGCTTTCTCGGATTCTGAATGAACGTGTCCGCTCCGCAAACGCGAGATACATGAGGAGACCATCGAGACCCAAGTATCGAACGCTCCGCACTCTCCAGACCCGATTAACAAGAGCTAAATAACACAATGCCCACCTATGCAGTCCTTGGCGCAACCGGAAACACAGGTCAATCGCTTCTCCAAGTTCTCACCCAAAACCCCTCGAATAAGATACACGCCTACTGTCGCTCCAAATCAAAGCTTGAGCGGCTCCAACCCGACATTGTCGCGTGTCCAGACATCCAGGTGTTTGAAGGCAATCTCGACAATACGGAAGTGATACGCGACTGCATCAAAGACACCCACGCCGTCTTCCTCGCCGTAGCAGTCAGTGGAAACGTCCCCGGCAACACAATCGCCCAAGACACTGCTCATGTTGTCCTTCAAGCACTTCGAGAACTCCGCGATACCAACACCGAGGCAAAACTGCCAAAACTGATCGTGCTATCTGCTGTGCCCACTGAGTCTGCCTTTGCCGCAAAGATGCCTGCACTTGCTCTGGCTCTTCTCTTCCGAGCAGAGTCAAACATCTACAATGATTTGATCGCTGCCGAGATACTGCTTCGTGAAGAGCAGAATTGGCTATCAGTGACCTTTGTTAAGCCGGGTGCTTTGACCGTCGATACGCAAAAGGGACATCAGTTGACCTTGGAGGGAGCGAAAGGCGTCGTGTCATTTCTTGACTTGGCTGCAGCTATGGTGGAGGTGGCAGATAGTGGAGATGTGTATGATTGGAAAGCTGTCTCTGTCAACCCTACGGCCAATGATGTGGCTTTCCCATGGCAGAACATTCCTTTGCTGGTCAAAGGCTTGATCTATCATTTCTTTCCTTTTGCATATCAATGGCTTGGTTGACCTTCTAATCATCCATTCAGGAAAAACGATCAGACATTGGAGTAACCCAGAGTTCTTCTATCTCTGTCATGAATACATGTGCGACTGCGAAGGAAGTTTTGATCTTTCGCAGCAAATTCCTGATTCGTGATTGTTGCTCAAAAGTCCAGACTCTCGAGCTTGCAACTCGCAGTGGGTATAGGAACAATAGCTTGGACAGATTCGTTTCCTCAAAGGCAAGCTCGGTCAAGTCAAGAATCGTGGTAACGTGCTGCTCCACCATGCTTTGGAGAAGAGCAGGCGTGCTTTGCACGTGGTCCAGCCAGATTGATCTGTAGTCGTATACTCCAGATAGAAAAATTGATGTCGCTGCAAGGTAAATCTTGGCGATGATTGTGCGGTCGTCTACTGGCGTCCCGTCCAGCTTGATCAGAGTGTCATGCGTGTCGTTGAGTGCGAATCTGAGGTCGAAGCCTTGCATAGCGAAATTCCTCAATTGATCGCTATCCCGAGATGACACCAATTGAGGGTCCATCCACTCGAGATACTGTAACACACGGCCGCAATGGTCTGAGCATCTGACCATCAGATTCAATAGATTGTCCAAGGGATGTCTCTCGATGTTGACATCTGTCAGCTCTAGCCATGAAGGGTTGGCCAGAAAGGAGGACTCGGAGAATAGCAATGCTCGGGAAGCTTCGAACATTTTCATTTGCTTGTAGAACGCCAGGCCGAGACCTGAGCGAAAAGCATCCGGACCTAGATATTTGAGAATCATCGAGGTACCATACATTGTATGTTTGATCCAGCCTTCTCCAGTAGGGTCATACATGAGCTATGTAGAAAGTCAGAGGCAGAGGGCTGAGTGGGGCAAGGGAACAAGGCGATACCTCGAACAGACCAAGCAGAAATGTGCTTGATAGCAGAGGTTGCTCAATTTTAGGATTCTTAGCATCCACGACTCTTTTGACAGAAATCACTGATGACTGATAGGACTGTAAGGCGAGTCTTTTGTTGTCGTTTTGGTCTTTGCCGCCATCACGATAAGCATATAACGCGCTCAATGCCTTGATTGCATGGTGTACTGCGGGGTCTGAAGCATAGTAACACTGTATGTCGAAAAACCAGTTTGACCGACACCCTGTGAAGCTGTTCTCGCTGACGAACTTGGTCAAGAACAGACTTAATACTGTGTTTTCATGGTCGATGCTTGGCTTTCGTGGTATATCAGCACGAATGAGATCGTAACTTGGGATGGCTTTCTGGTCTTCAGATTGGAGCTTAATCGCTTGAGTGGTCTTGACTGGGTACGAACAGCTCCGATCACGACGAAGGCAATTGACACAAGGCGTTCCGCCAGAGCACTATGGGACGTATCAACGAGGGGACCGACTGCCAGCACTTCTGATCAACTGACCTTCAGATGGCTTTGGGCACATGCCAAACATCTCGAACGTACAAGGCGGCGGTCCAAGGGTCCTAAGCGCATGCCGTCGCGCGAATATGTCCAGAAGAAGAAGCATCCAAGCGACTGCAACGAGACATAAGTATTCTCGTGAACAGAAGTTAACCTGACAGCAAGAGTGTGATGCCGACGAGTTCGGAGTCACTGCCAAGACGACTAAGCCAGATTGGGAAGTGTTCGCGCGAAATGAGCTCCGCAAAGCACGGTTGCTTTCTTCCAAAATCCTTCTGCCTTGTCGTCAACTTCTTCCATTCTACATACACGTCGGAGCTTAGCCAAGATGTTGAGGCCATACCAATCTGCAAGGGGAAGTGATCGAGCGAGACGCTGCAATTCAGAGCTTCCGAGGTAGGTCCTGCTGCTGTCGAGTATTGTTATAAAGACATGCCTCGCGACGCAGCATTTACTCTCATCATTTAATCTCTCCATCAACTCTTCTTATCCTTCATCATCCCACTGCGATTTCCATTCATCACCATGAAGTTCTCTTTACTCCTGACATCAGCGGCTCTGACCTCTGCAGTCATCGTCCAACCGCCGCTCGGAAAGTATGGTGTCGCGTCTACTGCCATGGAGCTCGTAGACACCTCGAGGAACGACACCTACGCTCCCAAGCCAGAGCATCGACGTGTCATGGTCTCTGCATATTACCCAGCTTCCTCTCTCAAGACCTGCCAGTTCGTCAAGGTTCCATACATGCCCCCAGCAACTGCTACCGCCTACGATGAGATGTATGCAGCACTCAACATTCCCAACGGCACTTTCGGCTCCTTTGAACTCTCTACCTGTGCTTTCAACCGCAAGGATCGCAAGATCAGAGCTGCCCAATTTCCTGTCGTCCTCTTCTCACCTGGTCTTGGTAATTCGCGACTCGAGTATGGTGCCATGGCCCAGTCATTGGCTAGTAATGGTTACGTGGTTATTACCGTCGACCACGCCTACGATGCGACAATTGTCGAGTACCCTGACAAGTCTGTTGCGCTTTCTCTCGATATTGAGACCGATGAGCAGATAGAAGCGGATTTGCTGGTCCGTCAACACGACATCTCCTTTCTCATCGATCAGCTCCAGAGCCAATGTGTCAGACAGAGTCTCTTCAACAATATCGCGGATCCAAAGTCTTTGGAAAAGATCCTCATGCTCGGACACTCTCTCGGTGGCGCAACAGCAGCAGCAGTTATGCAGACTGACCCTCGCATCATCGCTGGTGTAAACCTCGATGGCAGCTTCTTCTCCTCGGTCATGGACAAGGGTCTTTCCTCTCCCTTTATGATAATGTCGCATCAAGCCAAGAACCTGACCACCGATCCCACCTGGTCACAAGCATGGTCGAAATTCAATGGAACAAAGCTTGCGGTCACCTTGAATGGTACCGAGCATGGCACTTATACCGACATGCCTCTCCTGGCCAATACTTTGGGATTACATGGCAATGCAAGTGAAGGGCTTGCAGCGCTGTTGGGTACAATGGAGGGCTTCAGAGCGATGGAACTTGTCAATGCTTTTGTTGGTCAATTCTTTGGCTATGTGCGTGGGCAGCAGAAGAGTCTGGTGCCGGCGGGCATGACAAAGAACTTCCCCGAGGCAATGGTTCTTGACAAGCAGATCCGCAAGCAGAGACACTAAGGTGGTTGTGGCACACACAAGACTAGGTCTGGAAAGTGTATCATTCGAGACGTGGGAAGGTTTTATTCAAGGTGTGCAAGTCGATCAAGGATAAAACAGGGCAGGCACATAATTAAAAATAGTCATATGATGTATAGGGTATAAATCTTATTCAGATTGTTGGTTCAATTATGTGGTCATGATATGATTACAATGGTGTGGGTATATCGTGAAAAGGTCTTGCATGAAGCGAAAGACACTTAGTTGGAGGACTGACCACCCTTGCGACCGGCCTCAACGGGGTCGACCTTGCCGCCAGCGAACTCTGTGGATGATAATCAGTGATTGTATAGAGGTAGAAGGTTGTCAAGGATACTCACGTCCATTGCCGCCGCTGCCGCCGGAGGAGGAAGTGTCCTCGGAGCTACCACCAGAGGACTGACCACCCTGCTTGCCAGCCTCGACGGGGTCGACCTGACCCTGAGCGAACTGACCGGTACCGACACGCTTGTCAGGGGTACCGTCCTCCTTGAGACCGCCGTGCTCTGCATCATATCAGCAACCATTCAAGCAAAGAGATGAGTTTGAAGGCAAGAGCGACATACCAGTGGGCTTGTAAGTTCCAGACATGTTGATAGATTGAAGAAAGTAAAGACTTTGTTCTGAAGTGGTTTTGTGTTGAGTAAGGTTATGCGAGAAGCTGTAAGATCGAAGAGACTTGGTTGTTGATGAAGAAGGAGAGGTAGAAGCAGCAGAGGACGAGGTACTTATACGTCGTTCCCCCATCGCTTGAGTCCTAAGCCCGCCAGCGCAAGGAACGTCCACATCCAGCTTTTGCCCTCCTTGCCAGTAGTCGTGATGCGCAAGCAAGTAAAACGTGCGTGAAAGCAAGCTGTGATGATGCAAGAAAAGTGTAAGTTCGCTAACCCGGGAAGGAAACAAGGCGTTTTGCGAGAGAAGCCAATGCATCGGATAGCTCTCCCCACAAATCGTGCTTCCGTCGTACCTGAGTGCGAGATCGAGATCTCGTAGGCGGGGAATGACGCTTATACAGTTGATCTTCTGCCGCATGCGGCCTTGATTGATCTTCCGAAGCGTGTTATCGTCGTGAAGAGCCCCGCGTTTGACGCAGGAGGCTCCGCACTGAATCTGTTCTTGTTGACACGCAAAAGTAGCCTGCTATGGCATGATGCGACTTATACTGAAGCTCTGAAGTCGCACAATACTCACTGGATCTCTTGATGAATATCACAACAGTGTTCAGCATATAATATCTCTCTAATTGACCTGAGGTTCGTCATGAGCGGCTCCATGTCGCCATCATGGTTGTTGCCCCCTGTAGAGGCAAACTACGCCATCACCCATCCCAGTTGAGCGTAAAGTGGTCTCGCGAAAGAAGCACTGACGCGATTGATGACGCGCCTGCCCCTCTCACGTTTTCATTCTCAGCCGCCTAATCAAACACAAAAAAAGTGTCAACATCATGAGCCTCACCGTTTCTCCAAGATCTAGTGGAGCCTCATTGAACTCAATCGCATATGATCCATAAATTTTTCAGCCGCTTGTCACGATATACCTGCTGTATAGAGCTTAGCTTGTGATTCTGATCGACCTTACGAACCCCTCGTGATGCCTTTCCGCGTGGTAAGTGCTTCATGCAGGGGCCTGTTTGGATGTTGTTTCTTGACATCACAAAACGGGATGATCTGTTTACTATTGGAAGAATAGGCGCAGTGGAGAGACAAGTTTGCAATACGATGCAAGCGATTGTCGATAGCGTTCCATCGACTGAATGTAGCTGTCATTGTTGAGATTATTCTGGCGATTGCAAGCGAAGTGACGCTTGCTTGAGCTGGAGACGACACGATCGAGTGCCCGGCAATTGACTTATGCAAGTTGATTACGCTGTTGCCTTCGTGCAGACTTGCAGTACGTGAGCCACAGCAGGATCGAAGCAGAGATGAGGTGCACACCGCTACCTTGAACACTCCGCAATCCACCTGGAGTTCTCGCAATTGGCCAGAGTTCACGCACGCAGCAGGTTTGAAGACGTCCTCTGCAAGTCTCATGCGGCACCAGCTCCAGCCCGTGTGTGGTCCGGGAAAGATGATGGCGAGCATGGAAGAGTGCAGACCGCCATCCTGCATGCTTGACCTTGTCAACTGACTACAGTCGCCCTATGACGCTTGGAAAAGCATGCGTTGTGTATACAGACAGCAGTAGCTCTTCCAATCGCAGACAGGCGACGACAGCATCCGCACAGTCTCAAACTTTCCTTCAGTCGTCTTGTAACAACTCAGTCAAACAGACAACAAGCGGGATTTAGCTGATGAGCTGATGAGCTCAGAGATTGTCATTCGTCAGAGCCTAGAATGGGCGGGCGAACTTGAACGACAGCCATTCTCTCTTCACCATGTTTACCAGCTATTCTGGATCTCACACGGAGTTCTCGCCGTTCACAAACGTGGAAAAGCCGAGAGAAACTTCCACCCCTCGTACCCCTCACTCGGACAAAGACAAGTCCGCTGGAGCAACACAGCCCGGCACCGCAAGATCATAAGTACCTGATGACATCCGCACCCGAGAAAGGTAAGCCCTCGGCAACCTTTGATTGTTCGACTCGCAAATCATGTCCAGCAAAAGTTATAAGATCGCGTGCATACCCGCAGATGGAATTGGGCCAGAAGTAATCGACGCCGGCGTCGAGGTCCTCAAAGCTTTGAGTGCGGCGAGCAAGGCGTTCTCTCTGGTCTTCAAACACTACGATTGGAGCTCAGACACATTCAAGAAGACTGGAAAGTACATTCCCGATGGTGGACTTGATGAGCTGAAAAAGCATGATGCGATTTTATTCGGCGCCGTTGGTGCTCCTGGTAAGCTGCTCCAGTTTCTAGCTCCACAGGAAGCTCTACGACTGACGGTAATGAAATAGATGTTGCGGACCATATCTCGCTTTGGAGCTTGCGTCTAGCCATCTGTCAAGGCTTTCAACAATACGCAAACGTGCGACCTACAAAAATCCTCCGCGGCACCGAGTCACCCCTCCGCAAAGCTTCCACCGGTGACCTCGACTGGGTAATCATCCGTGAGAACAGCGAAGGTGAATATGCAGGCCAAGGCGGTCGCAGTCACAAAGGCCAGCCTTGGGAAATCGCAACAGAAGTCAGCATCTTCACTCGTCATGCTGTGACTAGACTTTTGAAGTTTGCGTTCGAGGTCGCCCGAAAGAGGCAGAAGAAACACATTACAGTTGTGACGAAGAGTAATGCGCAAAGGAATGGTATGGTCATGTGGGATGAGATTGCTGTGGAAGTTGCGAAGGATTTCCCAGATGTCACGGTTGAGAAGATGCTGGTGGATGCCATGACGGTGAGTGCAGGGCATGAAAATCTGAACGCATGTGTCGCTAACATAAATGTCAGTGTCGCATGGTACTGCAACCACAGTCGTTGGACACGATCGTCGCAACAAATCTCGTACGCGTCATCTCAAATTGCGATTTGAGCTCCAATATTGACATACTTCCAGCATGCAGACATCCTTTCCGACCTCGCAGCAGCTCTCGCAGGCTCCATCGGTATAGCACCAACCTCCAACCTCGACCCAACACGTCAAAACCCCAGCATGTTCGAACCAATCCACGGCTCAGCGTTCGACATTACGGGAAAAGGCATCGCCAACCCCGTCGGAACATTCTGGACAGCATCAGAAATGCTGCGTTGGTTGGGTGAAGAAGCCGCTGCTGAAAGATTGCTCGAATGTGTGGAGAATGTGTGTGGTGATGGTGTCTTGACAAGAGATTTGGGAGGTGAGGCTACAACCAAGGAAGTCACGGACGCCGTGTGTGAGGAGATTAGGAGGAGTTACGCGTAGAGTGGTTGGTTACCTGGAGCTGCGAAATGCTTTGTAATCTTTTGTATGCAAGTGAGCAGATATCATGCCAGAAGGGTGAGTCAAAAGGGAACAAGCAAAGGTACCCCGCATCACGCCCTCTGCGAGAGTTGCGTGCGGCAAACACCAACCTGCACTATATATTATCAAAGACTTTCCTTCACATCACCAAGAGCTTACAAAATTCTCTATGCCCATCATGTCAGACATCAAGCCATACAACATCTCAGTCTCTCAAGCGAAAATCGACCGCTTGAAGCAAAAGCTCGCTGTAATCGATCTTCCAGATGAGCTCGATGACGCAGGCTGGCATTACGGCGCATCTCTACCCGAAGTCAAGAAACTGCTCACATACTGGCAAAACGACTATGACTGGCGCAAACACGAAGCAAAGCTGAACCAGCTTCCCAACTACATGACTGACATCCAAGTCGATGGGTTTGATGAGTTGCAGATTCACTTTGTGCATCAGAAGAGTGAGGTCAAGAATGCTGTGCCGTTGCTATTTTGCCATGGGTGTGAGTGTAAGCCCCCTTGATGTGAGAACGAGACTGATGAGCGGAACAGGGCCTGGAAATTTTACAGAGGTGTCCAAGGTGTTGCCCTTGCTTGCTGATACCAAGGGTGGTGCACCCGCTTTCAATATCGTCGCGCCTTCACTACCGAACTTTGTCTTTTCAGATGGCGTCAAGAAGCGAGGATTCGGTCTTGCGCAGTACGCTGAAGTCTGCCACAAGCTCATGCTGAAGCTGGGCTACAAGCGATATGGTGAGTACTGCTGCACCCTCGACGAAACACGGCAAAGCTGATTTTGTGCAGTGACTCAAGGCGGAGATTGGGGCTTCTGGATCACCAGGACAATGGGGAACCTCTACCCAGAGTCATGCAAAGCATCTCACGTCAACATGACTCCACCAGCCATCAACGCAGACCTGAAAGCCGCACTCAACGACCTCAGCTGTTTCAGCGCGCAAGAGCAAGATGCGCTAAAGCGACTAGCCAAGTTCCGCGAAGACGGCGCAGGCTATAGCCACGAACAATGTACCCGACCGCAAACACTCGGCTACGGTCTTTCTGATTCTCCAACTCTTCTACTCACCTGGATCTTCGAGAAACTCCACGATTGGAGCGACGAATATCCCTGGGCCCCCGACGAAATCCTCACATGGGTGAGTATGTATTATTTCTCCACCGCCGGTCCTGCAGCCAATATTCGCATCTACTACGAAGCCAAGCACGATGCTTCAGGCGCCGATTCTCTTGAAGCTATGACCAAGGCGACGGCCAAAAACCCAAAGGTCAAGTTGGGAATCATGTATAATTGGCGGGATATGGAGACGTCTCCAAAGGCGTGGGCGAGGCAGCTGGGGCCCGTAGTGTTCGAGAGCGAGAATGAGCGAGGGGGCCACTTTGCCGCTTGGGAGAAGCCGGAGCTTATGGCGAGGGATCTGAAGAAGATGTATGCGAGAGACGCGGAGGCTGCAGAGGGCTTGGGTGAGGCGAATGGCTACGATGACTGAAGCCTCGTCGACAGTCTGAGTGTAAGCTTGAGGGTGTGAGTGTGATGAACGAGACGCCGGCCATCAACTACACGTGATAAGATAAAATCGTTTGCACTACAGTGGAATCACAGCCGACAGTACTCCCAGCTTCTTCGAGGATGAAAATGATGCGATCATGAGCTGATGCTCGAATTCAAGGTCGCGCAGGAAGCTGTCGAGACAGCGTGTCTAAATATGCGTCACTGCGACCCTGAGAACCACATACCTTGATATAGCTAGACAGTATCAAGCCAGCCACCTCAACTTCGCTCGACGTGCAATGCAGGTCGATTATGAGCTGCGGAAAGGCGTGGACATCTCGTTGATCCCGGGTGTAATGTTGCAGAGGCCAGGCTTCTTCGTCCACGTTGCTGCAAATCTGGAAATGATCGTGTTTTGACACCTCTGCAAGCAAGTCATGGTCCATCATACGGAGAACAAGAGGGTACATGCTTGTTGTCGCCCACGGCTCTGCTTACCTATCCAGGGCCCTCGAGACGACGCCGCTTTTTCGTAATCAAACTTTCGTCTCGTCTTTTGCCAAGAACATCACGTGTCATTCTCTCTCAGCATTTCAGACAACACAATTTACCCCATGGCCGCTATAATTCCGGCCTTTTGTGGAGAGGACGAAGCCAGAGATACCATAATTCCGGCCTCGTAGGAACATCACTATTCACGATGCCGTAACTTTCTACTCTGGGGCATCACACAACGCATGTCACGAGTGCAAATGGCTCCAGCGCGTTTGTGATAGAGACCTTCGAAACGTGGCCAAAAGCGCGGCTGAGTAGCCTTATCGTCGCTTATGTAGGTCGACCTGACCTCGTCGTCGACGTACAGTCTCAAGGTGGGTCAAGGCCGGTATCTAGTTCCGGCCTCTGTAATCTGTGTGCTTATCGCAAAGGGAGTAACGAGGAATACTTCCGGCCTTTGCTATATAGTCGCTTCGTTTCGCACACGCTTCCAAATTTCCTTTCCATCACTCAGAAATTTGCAAGAATCTGATTTCCTTAGCATTTTTTCTGTCACCCATCATGCCTGGAATTATCACCCAGCCTACTTCTCTGTCTGTTCCTCATGATCCTTCTGAGCTTCCCGTCGGCTCTGATCCTTTCTTGATTACTGCCCAGAATGGATATCTTCCTACCCAGCTGCCCCTTCGTAGGCTGCCCAAGGCCTTTGATGCTTTGAGCGATATCCTCGATGACATGCCTATCCTCAAGGAAGACGGCACTCCGGGTCTTCTTGCCAACTTCAAGCTTGGTCCTCTGATTGACTCTGGAGCTCTTCCTGACCTCACCGATGAGATTGACAATCTTGTTGTCGAGAGTGGAGAGGTTGATATGCCTGCTATCACTGCAGCTTTCCGTGATTACTCGTAAGTCTCTTGGTTGACTGAGATTTATGGCAAGCACTGACATTGAATTAGCTTTGTTGCTTCATCCTACCTGCTGGAACCCTGCTGGCAGGTATACAGCAACAACCCCGATGATGGCTATGGCCTTGGTCGTCAAGTCCTTCCCAAGTGTATCGCTGGCCCTCTGGTCAAGTGTGCTGACATGTAAGCAATTCCCGGTCTAATCTCACACCATCATATACTGATAGTACACAGCCTTGACATCCCAGCTTTCATGTCGTACGCTGCTTCCTACGCCTTGTACAACTACTACCTTGTCGACCCATCCGCCGGCCACGACGACTACTCCAACATCCGTCTCATCCGCGCCTTCGAAAAAGGTCTTGATCCAAAGTCCTCCGAAGCCGGCTTCATCCTCACCCACATCCACATGGTAGCCCAAACCGGCAAACTCATCGAAGGCGCCGCCGGAGTCGTAGAAGCCATCTCATCAGCTCGCGCCTCCTCAGACTCTCACGCCATCCCCGACGCCAAAGCAGGCCTAACATCCATTCTTCGAGCCATGACGCTCATCGAAGCCAACATGGAGAAAATGTGGGCAAACTCTTTGCCTAAGGATTATATGACCTACCGCACCTTCATCTACGGCATCACCAATCAAAGCATGTTCCCCGATGGCGTGGTCTACGCAGACTGCTATGACGATAAACCACAATTCTTCCGCGGCGAGAGTGGTGCAAATGACAGCATCATCCCCCTCCTCGACCACGTCTGCGAAATCCCCATGCCCGAAAACCCACTCACGCAAATCCTACGCGAGTTCCGCCAATACCGCCCAAAACCGCACCGAGAGTTCTTGACCTCCATCCGCGAGAAAGCAGCTGATGTAGGTGTGCGCGACTTCCTCACAAATTCTGGCGATCTCGGTCTCGTGGTCTTGTATCTGCGTGTCTTGGATCATATCCGCAGTTTCCGCTGGCGTCATTGGCAGTTTACCAGGGAATATATCATCAAGCGCACTTCGCACCCTGTGGCTACTGGAGGCAGCCCGATCATTACATGGTTGCCCAATCAGTTGTCAGCGGTTATGCAATTGATGGAGGATGTGTGCAAGGGATCTGGACTTTGGGCGGTTCTTGCAGAGGGAGTCTGGAGTGGAGGCGGTGCTGAGGGTGATTTGAGCAAGAAGGAGTTTGAGTTGATCAAGGGCATTATGGATAATGCTGTTGATCAAAAGGAGAAACTCGCCAAGGAGGTTGCCAAGTATTGTCAGGATAGAGGTGTGGATGCTTTGAAGGTTTGAAAACGGTAGTGGAAAAAGATTGTTGGGTGTGCTTGCTTTTTATACTTTTTTTTTGGACTTTTGTTAGTAGTTTTGTTATTTTGAATGTAGTACTTGTTCTGGTCAATGTTGTTTCGGTGTCTTCTTGCGACGTTCCCGCGTGTGCGAGTCTGACACCTCCGCCATCTCAAGCTGCCGCCGGGAGTTGAAGAGGAGGCCTATTATTTTTACTTCTTCAACTCAGTACTCCACTTGTATCTGAACGGATTTGAATCGAAAAACAGATCCCTCTGCTGCAAGAAAATCGATCCTGTCTAGGTCTCTCTAGACTTGCAACTCCTGTTCCAGGGCTCAACGGCTATACCGTTGCGACAACTTTTCTAGAGCGGTCTCCAATCTCGAGCCGCATGTTCAGCCGCATCATTCGCATACCCTCATTTTAATTCTTGATTATTCGTATGTATGAGATTTGTAGTGCCTTGAAACATGGACCTCGCGCATCTTTGGGATGTTCACAAGAGTAAGACAAGGATGAACCGGTTCGTACAAGATCGTCTCTCATTAAACCCTGCTATACGAACAGTTTACTACAACCGTTGAAGAGGTAAAAAGCAAGATGCAGCATAGCATTACTACCACATAGCTATCCTACACTTCGCTATCTCTCCCCTATTCCCTTCTGCTTCCTTCTCACAGCCTCATTGCCATTCCTCAATTATCTTCCTAGCCTCCCCAAACGACTCTACCACCAAAAATGTCCATCACAAACAAATTATCCCTCGTTTCTCTTTTCATCCCTTTCGCCATCGCAGGACCCTCGGGTTTCGGTCATGCCTTCAGTTCAGGCCCCATAGCCGATGGAAACTGGATCCGTACCGCAAACTCCACCCTCATCGTCCCCGCCCCTTCTTTACCATAAAAAGGCTTGCTATCTCTTTGGGTAGGTATGGGTACCAGTAATGGCGACTTGATACAAGCACTCGTGGAAAGCTATAATGATGATGTTGATGCTGAGTGTGGGGTATTGGATGGGACGTGGTGTGCTTGGACGAGTACATTAGTGGCGGCTGGACAGCAGGGGGGGAAGCAAGTTGTTGTGAGGCAAGGAGATGAGGTTGGTATGAATTGTAAGTGTCATGCTCTAAATTGCTAGAGGGGGCAATGTGCTGACGAGAGGAGATGTATACAATGACCAGACGGGGAATTATGATCAATACGTGCTTCTGAATGGTAAAGTCGTTTCTACATTCTCGACTTGTAAGAATCTCCTTACATCCAATCAAATGACTTTCAGCTGACGCGATTCACAGCATCAGGTAAAGCACTCGGCTGGGGTACAGCAGAGGAATGCAACCAAGCACCTCCAGCCTATCCCTGCGGCCTCACTCCATCTCATACCTGGATAAACACCACCCTCATCCTCGATCAAGCACAGCCCGACTACTCCAACACTTTTGGCAACAACGGTGCTCAAGGTACCCTTACGACATCAGATGGCGGCAAAACATGGACGAGCGAAAACATCACAATCGAAGCATGGGACTTTACACCGTCTTGTCCTGAGGATGATGGTTATCAACTTACAACGCTGGACAGTAGTATCTTTAACATCACTTGTGGTACAGAGTTTGTGGGTGGAGAGCTTGGGGGGCAGAATTTAGGAAGTGTGCAAGATTGTACCACTGCTTGTGATGAGACGGAGAACTGCTTCTTTGCTGTTTGGGATGGGAAGAGCTATGGCTTGAAAAGTTCCGTCGCAGTAAAAGTGGCTAAAGATGGTGTGACCGCTGGGTCCCTGGTCTCGAAAGGATGTTGAGAGGTTGAGTGTTGCTCATAGTTACAGTCTTTTGGAAGCATACCGGGTGATTGATCGCCTATAAATTTCGTCGCTCTCAACCGATTGATGGCTGCTTTGTTTCTGGAACATCCAATCAAGACTTCACTGTCGAAACGATGGCCTTAGCCAAAGCATCCGCTCCCTTCATCAATCTCTTCGATAGCTCTCCTTTGCTTGAGAAATAGGTGTACACATCGAGGAAGTCTTCTACCATGTACCAGTCATGACACTTTCCCTCCTGAACGTCCAATCTTACGTCCACACCCGCCTCTCTCACTCCATCCACAAAGGCAACAGCATCGTCCAATAACACATCATTCGCTCCAATACCCACCCACACTTTCTTCGGCAAGATGGTCTTCCATTGCTTCTCAGGCCTTGGTTGCGTGAAGTTGACCAGATGCTTGTTCGTCTTGTCGTAGGAAGCAGGCATGAATTGATATCCATCGTCGATGAGATCCGAATGAATCAGATAATCAACCTCTTGATTTCTTACAAAACTTCCTTCTCTTGAACAGCGGAGATCTAGCCATGGCGCTACGAAGAACGCTCCAGCTTCTGGTTTCTCTGTCCCGGTTTCGTCTAGATCGTGTAGGAGACATAGAGCCAAATGTGCACCTGCTGAATCTCCCAGTACTGCAATTTTTCCAGGCGAGATATCTTGATCCTCAATCAGGTAGTCGTATGCAGATCTTGTCTGATGTAGCTGAGTTGGAAACTTCGCTTCCGGAGCTAGTGAGTAATCGAGTCCAAAAACTGCAACATTGATTCCCTGTGCTTTGGCAATTTCCGCAACACGCAAGAAGACTGCTAGAGCTTGTGCCGGATGGCCAATCTTGTATGCACCACCGTGGAGATATAAGATCACGATGTCGCATTCTTGGGGCGAGAGTGGCGTGCTCATGGGTGAGCCCCTGCAGATCCAGTGGCCTGAGAAGTTCTTGCCGTCCACTCTCTTATAAAGGGAGGATTTGTTTGAGCCGAACCGACAGGATCTGCTAAATAATGGGCCGACGGCGTGGCCTGTCAAGCGTAAGATCGAGAGTGGTGTCCAAGGTTGTGCTCTTGTGTTATGTTAGTGGTGTTTTTGGTCAAAGCGACCCGAGACGTACACGCGAAGTAGGGTACATATGAGATCGGCTTTCACGCTGAGATTCTTCTTTGGTGTGAACAGTCTTCGGACAAGTACACGAATCAGAGTCAGAGGCAATAGAGGAATGAATACGAAACATTGCAATTTCTCCATCAAGGTTGATGACTTCACGTCTGGATTAGCTTCAAAGACGGCGGCCATTATGGCGTCTTGATCTGGAAGTATCGCGATCTCGTGAATGTTTCAGTCTACCAGAGCTATCACTGAGGCGGAAAATAACCCATATATGTAGGAAGACATCAATATTTGAGGCTGAGTGCTCAGCTGAGCTGTTGCCCGCAAAATGCAGGACCTCGGCACCGTTTCCCGCCCGTTGCTGTTTCGTAAATCTAGACCATGCAGCCACCTATGCGGGCTGAAGCTATCGTGAACACTGCAGGAGATATTGCTTAGCTAAAATACTTTTGGTCTGGTATCGTTGTACCTCAGCTGAGCAGGAACCCGGACATTGCAGGATACAAGGCTTAGGTTCTTGCTCTACTGCAGCTCAGCTCTGCCGAACCTCAGCTCTGCCGTACCACAGCTGAGCGACCCAGACATTGCAATCTCGTGCAACTCTTTGCTTGATCATTCGATTCAAGATTTCGTCATCGAGAGCACAGAGTCAGCGTAAGCTCTGCCGCCAGCCATCATACCTTTGGGCAGACTCCCAGTCGTCATGAAATAGTCACTCAAGTCTGGTCCATCGTCGAGAAACTGCCACAGATGGCCCTTGTTTTCTTTCTCCTCAAACTGAACCCTTATGCCGTCTTTTCTAAGTACGTCGACAAATGCCACAGCGTCGTCGTAGAACAGATCATCGTTGCCCACTGCGACCGAGACCTTTTCAGGCAAGATATTAGTCCATGATTTGTTGTCTGGTCGCGGACGTAGGAAGTTGATGATGTGCGGCAGCTCTGCCTCGCGGTGGCTTGGAATTGCCCTCGTACCCCGCATTCGCAGTCAGGTCGCGTACCAGGTAGTCTTTTATTCTGTTTGTGATGAACGAGCCATTGCTGGAGCAGCGTAGATCTATTCAAGGGGACACCATGAAGGCCCCACCGATAGGCTTGGGAAGTGTTGATCCGACTAGAGCAGAGTAACAAGATAAGACCATGTGTCCGCCAGCCGAGTCGCCTTGTACAGAGATTCTGGCTGGGTCAAGCTTCATATTTTCCAGTAGATAGCGATAGCCAGCAACAGCTTGGTTGATTTGCGTAGGCCATTTGGCTTCGGGTGCCAGTGAGTAGTTGAGGGCGAAAACGGCTATCTCGGCTGCGATCTCCGCCACACGTAAAAATGAGTCAAGCGGTGTTGCTGGACGCCCTGTTTTGTAGCCTCCTCCTTGGAGGTAGTAGATGACCAACTCGCACTGTTCAGGTTCCCTCGGTTGCTCAGGGGGCACCCCTGGAAAACCAGTATCCTGCAAACTCGGGAATCAACACTTGTTTGACGTTGGCGAATCGTGTCGACTGCTTTAGTCTTCCCTCAGACCTTGTGCCTATGGCGCGCAATAAGCTAAGGGAAACTACCCATTGAACCCTTGATACCGTCAGTGATTGAAATTTGAATCAACATGATCAGACTCTTCACTTACGCTCGGAGATAAAACTGCACAAGGTCCTTCTTGAATGAGATACCATTGTGTTTCTGAACAAGTCTTCTGAGAATAACTTGCTTCAATGTCCAAGAAAAGAAGGGCAGGAGCCGAAAACTTTGTGATTTTTCGAGTAGCGAGACTTGGCTTGGATTGGATTTATGCTCGGTCAGCGCCAGACTGATCCCTGCTGATGTTTGTCAAAGCTTCACATAAGACCATGACAACTTTCTTACCATATCTCCAGCAGCCAGCGTAATCTTGAACGTCCTCTTGTCATCTGACTTACTCGCGGAAGTCGCAATCTCGACAATATGCTCCCCACCTTCAACAACCTACCGCAAGCTTGCCTCATCATTCTCGGAGAACTCATCTCGCATAAACTTGATACTGAATGGGCCAGTCTCTCCAGCTTTCAATTGCAACTTGCTGAAGCCTACGAGCTTTCGTTGTATTCTCAATCCTGCTGCATCTGCAGGAGGTGTCATGAAAGCCTGGACCACCTCACTGCCATCAACCTTCCCGGTATTTTTGACGTTGGCAGAGGCAATCCGGGTCAAATCCGCTTCGTGATGCGTCGCGTCTGGAGAAGAAGTAAGATTCCCGTTGCTGTAGTCAAAGCGGTGTAAGACAGGCCATGACCGAATGGAAACAGTACCGTGTCTGGGAAGTGATCGTAGTGACAATATCTAGTAAAGCTGCCTTCTGCATAGTCGACTTGAAGTTTCTCCGTGTCACCTGGGAAGTTACAATACGCTGGTGTATCCTCAAGGCTCTCAGGAAAGGTGACAGGAAGACGCCCGCTAGGATTGACAGCACCTGTCAATACGTCAACAATGGCATTTCCAGCTTCTTGACCAGGGAATCAGGTCTGGATGACAGCTTTGACACTGGAAATCCATGGCGTGACTACCGGAACGCCAGTTGAGATAACGACGATTGTGTTAGGGTTTGCCTCGGCCACAGCAGCGACCAGTTCATCCTGTGAATTGTTGACAGGCAGATTCGTAGAGTCCATGTCGCGATCTTCGGACTCCCAGGCAGTCGTGTTACCAACAAAAGCAACAGCGACCTCTGCATTCCTAGCAGCTTCGACGGCTGGAGCAAGCAAGTCACTTTCGACAACTGATTGTTCCATGAGCCCGAGAGAGATACCCATGGCACCATTGCGTAAGAGAAAGCCAGAGGTATTGGGCGACTGCCTTACCTCGAGTTTGGAGAGACAAGACCTTCCTTGTCCAAAGGTGAACGACTCTCTTGTACCTTCAGCATTTTCCTGGAGGAAAGCGACTGGGTCTACGGTGTCACCTTCGGTACAGGCAACAAGAGTGTCATTGATGCTAAGAGTCGCGAAACCGATGGAACTCAATTCGAGCTGGTGGCAACCACTTTCTCCAGGCGTATATATGCCCTCGAGAAAGACTCGACTTGAGGGCGCTTGTCCAAGACTCATGTAGCGGCAAGCTTGAACAGTTTGAACACTATCGACCTTGTTCGGATCTTCCAGACGGTACTTCGCCATGGTCAATCCTGGTCTTCCTTCTAGGTCAAGCAGATTTCTCGAGAGTATCGGGAGGGTCCGATGCAAATGTGCACCTCCGGCGTAGAGAAGGGCTGCGTGTGGTTCAAACGCTCTCGAGAGCGCTTCATATGGTGTGATTTAGTAATGTGCGTTCACAGACGCTGAACCTCCTCCATGAGCCAGACATTTTTTGGCCAAGCCCAACACTGCTATTTTCTTGATCTTATCAGACTTTAGTGGTAGAATGTGGTCTTTGTTCTTCAGTAGGACAATACCATCAGCTCCAGCCTCGCGTATGATTTTGGAGTGCTCGGGACAGTTAATTGCGCGCTCTGCAGATGATTTGGGGTTGTCGGGAAGAACATCCCCCATGTACTTCGCTGATGGGAGTCGTGGGGTGTACCTTGCAGGAAAATTTCTTACCGGTCTTCCCCTCGTCGCTTATCAGACACTGGGTCCAGCTTATTTCTCGGACGTCATGCCACTTAAACTCCGAGGCTCAACAACAGCTGCGACCATCTTCACTATCACCTTCGGACAGTTCCTCTCATATGTGGCCCTGAAGCTGACATCTCCCACACCTGGGCCTGGGTCATATCAGAATATGTTCGCCGTTCAGTGGGGCTTTGCTGCCGTAAGCTGCATCGGTCTCTACTTCATCCCTAAGTCGCCATACTTCTTCGTGTCGCGCGGCAGACCGGACAAAGCCCACAAGAGTATCGCCAAAATCTACGGCAAGGATGCGGATGTCGAGGGTCGTATCGCTGATATTATGACTGCACTTCGTCTGTATTCGGAGGGAGAAAAGACATCTTCAGGTCTTATGGCTTGCTTCTCCAAGCAGCATCGACGAAGAACACTCATCACTTGCGGCGCCTTCACACTCGCCTCGCAAAGTGGTTCGACTTAGGTCGTTGGGTTCGTCGGATACTTCTTACAGCTGGCTGGCAAAACTCCTGATCAAGCCAACACTCTGAGTCTGGTCATCATCGGTATGAACATGGTAGGTAACATGTGTTGCTGGCCTCTCATCGAGAAGTTTGGTCGTCGTTCAGTAATACTCTACGGTTCCGTCACACTGTCGACCCTACTCTTCCTCATCGGCATCCTCGGTAACGTGGCCAACTCGAACGCTGTGCAGGCACAAGTGGTTTTCATGGCTCTTTAGGCCGTCGCCATTTCCGGCAACTGTAGGCGGTGTAGTATGGCCGCTCGCTACCGAGCTTCCTGCCTCATCAGTCAGAAATGCGACGCTCGGCCTCTGCATCATGTGCAATGGTCTCGGCATAGCACTTTGGGGTTTTGTCCTGCCATATCTCGTCAACCCTGATCAGGCCAATCTGGATGGCAAAGTTGGCTTCATCTTCGGCGCTTTGATGGCTGTCTCTGTCATCTATACTTTCTTTCTAGTCCCTGAAACTAAGAATCGGAGTTATAGGGAGACCGATGAGTTGTTTGAAAGCAGAGTTTCGCTTCGTCGTTTCCACAAGACAGACCTCGACGCAGCAGAGTTTTCGGATTGACTTTGGGCACCGGAGTGATGACTGTCGAATGAGATTCCATACTCCAAAATAAATCGATAACGACATCAGTCTTGATCGGTTGAATGTCCTAGCTTCCAATCTAGCAGCTTATCGCTTACGATGGGGCTGCATTCTGACATTTCCCGCTTCTTCCTTACTGAGTCACATTGGCCCCCTTTCGAGCATTCGTTGTGATGATTCGCTATACGGACTGGTGTGTCTAGATGGTGAAATCGTCGGCCAAATTTCTTCTCAAGCTAGACTTAAGCGTAGTCTGCCAATGTGTGCGAGGCAAAATATGATCTTGCAGAATTGCTAATCATGCTTGGCTGGAAAGGCGACCATCCGAGGCTCGGGATATTATATAGTCACAGTCGAGAAGAATGGTAGGGTCGTCAGATTGTATACACGTCTGAGGATACGAGAGCCTTCTGCAATTCCGAAAAGTACTCCAAATAATGCCGTTCCAGTGATGAGTTGCAGAGTGTGATAAAGTTGGTCAGGTGTGGACTGCGCGTATTCGGTAGGATCAGTGTCCCAAAGCCTTAGAAGTTCGCGCACGTGAGAAACGCCTTCGACGATCATGAAGCCAATGACACCAATAACACCTCTCTTATAGTTGAAGCCGACATGCGCGTTCATGGGAAAGGCGTAGGCTGTGAGGGCGTAAAGTACGCCCATGGACGAGAACGTCTTAAGTGTTTCGAGACGCATGGTCACACTTGACAAGGCAATTTAATTTGATGTTGATGCGTGTGAATTGGCGGAGGTCCTCATGTTGGTGTCTAGCGACGGGAACGTGCAAAAGTGACAGTTTTCGCGCGCCAAGACGCGGCCAAACGCTTTCCCGACAGAAGCTCTAATTACGCATACAGCCTATGCAGTTTCATCATCAAGTTTTCATCGCGTCTCTCGTCTGTTCCTGAGGCTTGGAAGTTGCACGATTATCTATCAGACAGCTCGAGCCAGTGAAATGTGTCTTGCGTACAAGGCAAGCAGTGTTTCGATGTAGGTCTGTGACCAACGAGACGAAAGGATGTCTCCTTCTCCGCAGGACAGAATGTGTTTAAAGATGCTTTCCCGAAAGCTTCACAAGAGGATGAATGTGGCTACCATCCGATCGCCCACATTCCCGCCCTTGCGATCAGTCTCATGATGCTCTGCATCACCAGTACGCTGACCGGCGCGCCAAATATCCAGCAGAGGAAGACGGCTCGGGCGATGACCATGCTGATACAAACTAGGAGAGTGCCATTCTTCCAGGTACCCAGATCGCGCCGGAGTTTTGTGATGGCTCTGACATGAGATGATCCTTCCACAACCATGTAGGCGCCCAACGCGAACGCGCATAGTCCATAATTGAACGTGGAGTCCCTGTGCACAGTGGTGATGCCAGAGACAATGAGCAACAAGGACGCCATGCACAGCAAGTTTCTGTTCGTATTCTTCTGCCTCGCCTTAACGAAGTCTCGCAAATCAATGGAGGACTCCTTCACGTCCCGCGGTAAGAGTAAGACTTCATGGGTCATGTCGATTGTATTGCATTGAGTGGCAGCAGGTCGCGTCACCATGCGAAACTTTAGTGGTCTGCGTGAGGAGATGGTAAATGTTTTGGCCTACTCAAATATCGCTGTCGGTATCGAGTATGTGTTCTAATGGCGGTCGACTTTCATGTCATAAAGGTGCAAGGTGTCGATTTTCTCGCGCCAATACACGTTGCCAACAAAAGAACAACGAGTGCACGGGCGTTTGTTCTCGCGGCGAAGTTCCCCCGGCGAAGCTGCTCCTGTCAATTGAACCATTTTCATCATCATCGTTCATTATCTTCTTGCCCAAGTCCAATGACAGATGCATCGTCGCAAGTGAACTCGCATCTCACACCTCAAGAGCAGGAAGGAGCTGGACAAGATGTTGACGCTCGGCCTACGAAGCGTGCTCGACGCGAGTCGCAGGATCGGCAACGTCGCGAGATTGGCCTCATGAGGCAGAGCGATGGCGCAAATGCACCAAGTTTTGTAGGCAGCTCGAGCGGCATTCATTTTGTTCGCTCCGTGTATCAGGCATTGACCAAGTCACGAGTGCAATTGCCGCCTCAGACTCCAAATCAGAATATGGTGCCTGGCGAAGAAGACCAACTTGACGAAGCGACACCTTATAGCTCAAAAAGGCTATGGTCTCCCACCGAGATTGATGAAGCCTTGGAGGGTAGTCCGAGTCTTGATTTTGAGGACTTACAAACGTGGAGCGAGAGTTACTTCGAGAATTGGCATACTGCTTATCCTTTCATTCATGCGCCGACCATACTCGAATATCTGGAGCAAGACGTCAGCTCTAATACTTTTGCGAATCTGCGTAAGCAGCATCCGTCACGCTTCATCATCGTTCGCTCCATCATGTCAATCTCTCTGGCCGACCGCAAGCAGTCTGGCTATGCCACTGAGCGCAAAATTTTTGCTGCCCTCGTCTTTACGTCATTCAAAGAAGCCATGGAGAGCGTTCAGGATATGCTGTTTATGCCATCTACCATTGAATCACTGCAAGCTGTTCTCTCGGTACAACTCTTCTTGGTTTCGATGCTACGTCTGAATGGTGCTTCAAAACTTGGTGGCATGATTGTACGCATGGCCTTTCAGCTGGGGTTGCATCGATGTGCGAAAAGGTATCATGGATTCGACACGGAGCAAGCTGAGCTTCGCCGCCGACTATTCTGGACAATTTACTGTATTGACCGCCATCTCTGTCAATCTCTGGGGTTGCCCTTGACTATTCGCGACGACGACGTGGATGTCTGCTACTTTGACGAAGAGAAGCACGCGCCGCCTCATTCACGTCGAATGGTCATGGATGACCGCCTCAGAATGCTGAATTTCCTTACCAAGCACGCTTCAATCAAGGGTCAAATCATGGAGCTCCGCAATAAATCCATCCACCAACGTTCGGCCAGTCGAGATCTTGCTACATCCATCGCAGCGAACATTGAGAAATGGGCAAACGACCTGCAATACACGCTGGAAGCTGCCAAGTACAATGAGGCTGACGACTTCAACAAGCTACATGAAGTCGTTCTCTCAGTCTTGCAGCATGAGTCGGTCATCTCCCTCAATCGACCTCTGCTGGCATTGGAGAAGCACTCGCCAGAATATATGGCAGCTCTTCAGACGTGTATACGTGCATCTAGGTCTATCATCTCACGACTGCACGATTACCTCATAGCCACGCCATACTCATCTGTTCTGCAGCCACCTCTACTGTGGCCGTCTTTGACCTGGTGTGTCTGGATGAGCGCTTTTATTGTGCTTCACGCCGCGATTGAAGGCGAGATGCCGAAGCCGGTCGCGAGAAGGCTTGCAGATCAAAGTGTCGAGATTCTTAGACATCTTGCACTCAGAGGTAGTGTATGGCCAAACGTCTGCGCCGTCGCCATCAACGACTTGTTCTTGCGCCTACTTCTCGACTCCGCTGCTCCAACACCGCAGTCACCGCTTGCAGATACACACTCTAATTTGCCCCATGTCTTGAACTCGGCAGCACAAAATGAGCAGAGTAACTTGTTCAACCATGCTGCCAATGTCACTGGACCTTCGCCATCAAACTTCGAGCCGCACTTGGCTATACCGTGGTTGACCGGATCAGACGCTGCAGCAGCTACTAGCAATAACATTTTCGAGCAGTTTGATATCCCTTTTTGGATGGGAGATGATCAATACACATCGCTTATGAACTTTGATCTCTGATTTGGGCAAACACTGCAACACTTCGATGGTCTATAAAGTCTACTCTCTTTCGTAATCTTCTCTTGCGCCGAAAGCTCATGCAGGATATTTGGCAGCGACCGCATTGTACTCCTTCTGTGTCAAGGGCGTGACAGACCCATGTTTCAATCCCTTGGGAAAGTTGGGATAGTTTGAAGCCGTCCAAGCACCACTCTTTGCAGGATCAGTAGACTGATACGAAACATACTGAGTGTAATCATCCAAGAGGAGATGATACAGTCCGGGTGTAACGTTATCCGCAAAAGAAGCTGGACCCTCTCTCGGACTCTCTGGCCTCACGTATCCTGGGGTACGGCTCCACTGTCCAAAAAGACCACCAGTGGTGGTTTCCACGTAGACTTGGTTCACAGTCTCGTTCTTTAGGAAGCGCGCGAAGTTGTTGGCTTTTCCGAGGTATTGGAATTCTTGGTCGATGAGCGGTGTATCCGACAGGGCAAGATAATCTTTTGCCGGCGCAAAGGTGACAAAATCTTTGGTTGTCGTGTAGCGAATACGGTCAAGAGATGCACTGCCAGTATGTTTGGTATCCGAATCGGCATAGAGGCGAGAAGACCAGAAGACGTAGAATTGAGATGTTGCGTCGTCCCAAACGGCAGAGGGCGCCCATGTCATTCCAGCATTTGCACTCTCGACCCTGCAGACTTGTCAGTGCTAATCGAGCTGAACTCATGGATTGGGCAGGGCTTACGTGCGAAGACTGGCCGCAGACCAATTCACCAAATCTTTCGAACTCCAAACCACAATACCACGACTTCCTGTTCTTGTCGCAGCATCCCAATTAAAGCCCGCAGCATTGATATCAAGATCTACCCTTTGTCAGCAACTTCTTCTACACTCTCAAGCCTCAAAATCTCATTCACCAGTAGCGATCATGTAGTATTTCGTCCTTGCGCTATCATGAGCCAAGAAGACATCTCTCACACCTTTTGTGCCCACAGTTGACTTCAACACTGGCTGCCCTTTGTTCAAGAAGGAGAAGCTACTGGCGTCATTGCCTTTGGAGAGGTGGAATTGAACAGCTGGTGTGACATCTGAGAACGTGGAGACGAGGTAGCCGACGAAGGGGTCTGCACGAGGTTGTAAAGAGGATGAAGCAGGAGCGGCTAGAGTGATGGGAAGTGTAGCGGCAGCGAAAGCGCTGAGGGTTGTGATGGAAGTGAGGAAATGCATTTTTGTCGTTCGCATGTGTGTGGTACTCTCGATAGAGGGTTACAGGTTACAGGTATCTTTTATCCTTGATCAAAGCCTTTGCCAACATGTATGATGCATGTTCGCCCACAAGCGAGCGGATGAAAGCCCTCTCTTCTAACGAGGGGCCCCGCAAAAACCTCCGCAAAGTGCTGTAACGGACCGAGCCCTACAAGATCGGCAGGGGCGTGGAACCCATCACCAAGTGTTTCGGGTAATTCTTGTGTTTTGACTCGGGTGGAGAGCTTTACGGTACGGTTGATTTGGTGTGTGCTCGGCTGATGACTGGGAAGACTAGAAATACTTCCGCGAGTGCAATGCGCTCAATCTCTTGGCTTCGCTGGGCGGCGCTGCTTCGGAAAGGGTAGGTGCGTTTCTGATAGTTGCGGCATTTGGACTGACGAAAATGGTTGTCTCCAAGACATGTTGGCCCAAAGGAGACTCGTACCCTGTGCTATGTCTGGTGGCATTAGACCCGAGCTGCAAATTGGCGGCGGTGTGTTGAGGTGTTCGGATAGGCCAATGAGCTTGTTGATCTGCCCTCTGACTTGTGGTGCCTTGAGAAATCGATGCTGCTGCTACAGGAGCTTGAGGAGGCGGCGTAGCAAGAGCTTGTCTTTGTGTGTCTGTCATGGCAGCTTTTCGTCGTTTGGTCGCTGGTCCGAGTTGATCGCGCACCGTGGAGTCGCCAGACATTCGCGACAGCTCGGTCTCTGCGATATGGGTCGCAGCTCCTTCCTGGTCGTGCAGACCGTCACTTTTTGCCAGCTTATATCGCATCCACTCGACTTGCTGCGATTCATTTCCCAGAGGAAACGCCTTCCAATTCTCCACATTTGCCAACCGTATCTCATTGAACTCAAGCTCTCGTGGTCGTTCTGATAACGCAGATAATGCGTGAACAGGCTCTCTGACTTCCCTCACTCGTTGTGCTTCCAAAGCATGTAAACTCGAAAGAGCTTGCAGCAACGCAGCTTCTGTTTGCGCCAGGCGTTCTTCGATCTTCGCAATGTATCCGGAAGGGAGGCCCCTGCATATCATCATTATTTTCTGTACCCAGTGGGTATGTAAAGATCGGTGCTCACCTCTTGCTAGTGCCAGGGTACGTGCAAGTTTGACTCGCGTGCACGCATTGCGAGCATGTTGGGCTGTGAGAACTCAGATCTGGTTTGTGATTTGACTCCGAGATGGAAGTTCGGCTTACATGTTTCTGTCGCACTGCACGAACGAATAAGAAAACATCAAGCTCTGCGGAGATATACTCGACGCCTACCTTTCGCTTTTTGGTGCGGCAAATCTCGCATGCGATTGGCGAGAACTCACTCATCCTTTCACTGGCAATTCAATATAAGCACAACGCGTTGTCAAATCTGCTAATGTGAGTAGTGATGAAGGTGGAGGTAGCGGGATGTGTTTGTGCGATACGGGTGGGCGGAGTTGCGTTTCTCCGACGCCGATAGCTGTTACTCTCACGTTGACTCTGCATCGCGTCAGGGAGAAGCGCATCCACAGTCTGCTTCGCGGAGTTCACCTACAGACTCCTCCTGCGTCCGACAGTTGATGTACGCCTTGCGCACTGCTTATATCGACTTTGGTAAAGGCTGTCGTTGGCTGAATACCCTTGCTATGCAAGAAAGTGGGCTAACACGCTAAAAATCAGATGTGAAAATAGTCTGTACAACTGCTGTTTGCTCAAACTTACAGCATCGCTGTTGATAAGTGCGAGAACAAATCGTGTCATGCAAGGCAGTTCCGCTGTTACTAAAGACGCTTTGAGACTTGCGATATGGCACTGCAGGCCACTTACGTATAAATGTAATCTTGGGGCCTCGTGGTGTTCCAGAAAAACATCTCCTCTTCGTCGGGACCCGGTTGGAAGAGTTAAGTACTTGTGTTATAAATTTCCTACCACTTTCATCGCACCAGCCAGTAGAGACCATGATTTCTGACCACCCTGCCCAGCAAAATGGCCACTTAACCCCTCCTCCGGAGCCACCTCCCTAAATCTTCCACAGAGCCGCCTCATGACGAGTTTTTCCCACTCAAAAAAAGAAGCCAAAGGTTAAATCACAATGCCGCCAACACCCCCCTCTTTCGGTGACTTGCAATACTGGAACACGCGTTTCAGCAAGGAAGATGAATTTGAATGGTTAGCAGATTTTACGGCTTTGGAGCCATGGTTGAGAAGAGCAATTGGAAGTTCTGGTGATGAGAATGAAAGAGAAAGGGATGGAAAGGGCAAACGAGTCTTGCACATTGGTTGTGGTACTTCTGCTTTATCGGCGGCGCTGAAAGAGCTAGTTAAGTCTCCGCGACAAATCCATAATGTTGATTATTCGGATGTGGTCATTGAACGACAACGACAACGAGATTTGACGAATACTGGTGAAGAGGCTAGTAAATGGTCGACTTTGGATCTGTTATCATTGGCGCAGGTTGAGGAGTTTAAGAAACAAGGAAGATACGACGTTATCATTGACAAGTCGACTTCTGATGCCATCTCTTGTGCGGAAGATGTACATGTCGGTCTACCTTATCACATGAACACGGCAATGGAGCAGGGCTCTTCACTCGCGATCTCCGGACATACTCAGGTGTACCCCCTCGTCATCCTCGCCATTCATCTGGCCTACCTCGCAACGCCTGGCTGTCAGTGGATGGTCCTGAGCTACTCTGCCTCACGCTTTTCATATTGGGAAGACGAGAGCCCTCAAAGATTGCCACATCCGACTCAACTCTGGAAAATGGTTCGCCATGAAAAGATTGAGCAGCCTCAAGACCCTAAGGATACTGTTCACAGACCACCTACAATGCATCATCTCTACATCCTGGAAAGAACAGAAACGCCATTGGGATGATGGCAATGAAGGATTCTGAACAACAGGACCCTCTGGGACATGTCAAACTCGCACACTCACACATCCAAGATGAACACAGATGGAGCGGTACAGACCAAACGATCGTCTGACTCTGACCCACAAGGAGGAAGAGAAAGCAGCGGCTCGCTCTCTGCCATGTCAAGCGAGCTCTGTGGCCTCTCACATATATATTGCCTGGCACGAGGTGGACTTGGGGCAGAGACGCCAGCCACAACGATGCCAGCCCCTCCCGTTGGGATACAGTCTCGACAGCAACACCGAACCTGGCGACACCGATCACCTTCCAATGTACGAGGGCATCAACCTCAACCAGAATATGAAGCACCGTGCGCATGAGCGACGGGCGAAAGAGCGAGGCGCATTGACGGTCAGACGTTGTTGTAACCAGTAGGCTTGACCTTTGTTCTTCTCTGCCAGAGCCAGATTTCCTACCTGTATCGCTGCGCGATGACTATCTGTTGCAGGTGATTTGGCGAGAGGAGGGAGCGGGAGCAGTGTGGGCGTCGCTGACAAGCCTGATACTCCGAGCTCGAGTCGGAGGCTTCGGGCGGACGAGCTTCGGCAGTACCGTATGGGGCGTACCTTCCGCCGGAACGTCTTGTGCACTGACGGGTGCGCACTTACTCCTATCTTATATTCGAGATCTCGGCGGTGAGACACAGTGCATATGCGCAAAGCACTTGTAAGTAGAGGGTGTGATTGTGATGCTCTGTTCTGAACTCGCCAGAGTCGTGGAACAATTTGCGGCGAGACCGTCGGCTGCGGCGTCGAGTGCACGGGCCACACACAGTAGCAGACACGACACACCATACCATTTGCAAATTCATATTTGGAGGAATTGTGTAAGTGGAGGATACAATCTTGACCAGTAGTGTACGAGCCTATCTTTTGCTTTTGTCGTTGCAGAGGATCGCGTTGTTGAGCTGCCCAGATGGTGGAGAAGCGAATTCACCTCCAAGATTTCCGATCATTGTTTGCTCAAGTAACTTTCTATCTCCAATCGATGCATCTTTATACAATTATTTCCAGGTGTGTTGCACTAGCAGATGCCAAAAGATCTGTGTGCTGTGATTATCAGAGCTCGCCTCCGATTTTTTCCAAATCTTGACCTCAAGTCCCCCATGAACCACCCCCTCTGGACCAAATTTTCGTTCCTCGCAGACACAGACAGGTGACAGTATGATAGAACGTGTCTACTCGGATGCCAAAGACCTAAACGTATCTCTCTAGTGGCTGGGCTTCGTTCTCTGCAAGCGCAGACAAGTAGCGATGTTGTAGAAGATGTCTACATTGTTGTAGACACCCCCGAAGGCTGCTTGACAAGGGCCCTGGGCGAACACAGGGACGTCAGTGAGCGAGTGGACTCCCTGGTCTGCGCTGACTGGTAATGTGCCCTGGATGAACAGTTAGGTTATTGTGATTTTAAAAATGTTAAACAGGAAAAAGCTTACGTTCACCAAGAAACCGGTAACAGCATCAATGTAATTGACATAATAGTTATTACTGCTGAATCCGGTGACGTTCAGGGCAGGAATACGAGGTCCGTTCTTGTGAACACGGTAGTTCTCGCGGTGGTCAGGGAAAGTGGCAAGGCCGGACTGCAAAGTGTAACGAGGGTCCCAGTTGACTGGGAAATCGACACCAGCACTGTAGACGAGGTTCTGATCGCTGCCGATGGGTGCAGAGCGGTTGGCTACCATGTACTGGGAAAGGCCGGATTGTTCGTATGTGCCAACTGCGTCTCTCTTTTTTCTGTCACCACTTTGTGCATCCATGTATTTTGTGTCGACACCACCAGTAACATCGAAACCGTGTCCGTGGTCAGCTGTAGTTACTATTAAAGTTTCATGTAGTTCTCCAATGTCTGCAAGGTGTTGAAGTGTTGCCTTAATGGTATCATCAAGTTCAAGAAGTTCGCCGAGTGCGCGATCATAATCCAGGACGTGCATCATCTTGTCGATAGACGCAGCTTCGGACATGAGGAAGAAACCCTTGTCTGGAGAACGCTTGTGAAGAATATCAATAGCTTTGATGGTCATCTCCTTCAGACCGGGCTGGTCGGTGGCGGTGCCGTTGCTTCCAGCGGGGTCGGTCTTGGAGATGTTGAGGTTCTTCTTGTAGACGTTTCTGTCGAGCCACTTGGCCATATTAGAGACGGAGAAGATACCCAGAGTGCGCTCGGTAGTGGGTGCAGCTTGAAGAGCAGTGTTGTTCAGAACAACGTTGTACCCCTTGTTTCTGAATTCTTGGTAGTAGTCCTTGCCCTTGAAGGACTTGCTGCTTGGGATGAACTGCTCGGCACCACCGCCGAAGAGAACATCGGGACCGCTCCAAGAAGGCCAGGTGTAGTTGGTAATGCCGTTGAGGAAAGAGTCGACAACCTAAATTGTACAAGGTCAGCTTGATGATTTTTGAGGAGGCCTGGAAGTCACTCACGTTGCCGTATTGGCCTCTCGCCCTGGTGTGAGCAGTCAGAGCACCAGGTGTAGCATCAGCGATGAAGGCGGTAGAGACGATTCCGATAGCACCGCCCCTGACCTCGTGGAACAGCTCAGCGATAGACTGGATCTTAGGGTCGTCAAGCGGGTCGGGCGAAGAGTCAGCGTAGACACCGAGAGCGTTGACGGAACTCTTGTGACCAGTGTAAAGAGCGGTAGCCGAGTTGGCAGAGTCGGTAATGAACGAGTCAATCGAGTGAGTCATCTGATGACCCAAAACAGGGAACTTGTCCATAGCCATGCGGGTTTGGTACTTGCCATTGACACTCTGGTGGGCGATCAGACGTGCAGCAGTGACCATGTTGGTGGTCATGCCATCACCAATGAACAAGATGACATTCTTTGCCTTCTCCATCATCTTAGTGTCTCTGACAGTCCAGTTGGCCTGAGTGACGCTACCATTGGCGTATGTCAGGGTAGCGATGTAGTTGCCAGGCTCATACAAAGCGACCTTGCGGTAAGCCTTTGCAGCAACCTTGACCAAACTGGGTGTCTTTGCAGCTTGTGCGAACAAGTCCTCATACCAAGTGAAGTTCCATCTCTCAATTGCTGGCTCTGCGACCTTGAAGAATGAAGCTGCGTTGTGGCAGTCCTTCTGCTGGCCGTCTTTGGCGATTGTGAAGGTGAATTTCTCGTCGGGGAGGGTGTATCCGGGGACAACTTCGGAGCCATTCTGAGGGGCGTGAGTCTCGAGACGAATGTCAAACCATTGCCCAGGCAGGAAGTCAGATTGGTCCGGCGGAAAGATGCAACCAAGAGTTGGGCAAGCTCCCAGACGTTGGAAGGTTTGTGCTGTAGCCTGGCCAATGACGGCAGCAGTGCATACCACACAAGCTGTGCTGAAGCGCATCTTTGCAATGTACTTTTCAGGGAGAGAACAAGAGGAAAATCACAACAGAGAAGTGAGCTACGATGTTTTTCCTGCATGGAGCTCGAAGCTATACATACTTTATACCGAGCATTCACTTTACCGAGGAAGCTTCCTATGTCGGCTCACTCGTAAACAAAACAGCCAATGAGCACAACAGCTCTTCCCATGCAGGCAAAGATTGACGCCTTCACGCTGCTATCGCGTGGTGGGCGACGCGAGCAACATCCATCACGACGTTCCTGCCGCATATCGCCAAGTAGAGAGGCGTTTGCGGCGTGGTCTTGTCAAGAAGAAAGTTCAAAGGATGTTGGAGAGATTTGGCAGAAGAAGTGATGTCTGTCCGCCAAAAGGGTGCAACGGGGCAGGGTATGCCAAGTCTTGGCAATGGCGGGTTTGATGGAGTAGGGTTGCTTGTCGTTTTGTGGGAGAAGCGTTTCGAGCCAATCGTGTCTAGCACGTTGCTCTGCCTGCATATCGACCTTCCATGTTGGATGGGCGGCTGGATTCTGTAAAGTTGTGAGGCTTGAAATGGTGGGCATGTCACTGCTGCGCGAGAATTGCTTTATGTTGCCATGCGGATATGCGTGCTTGTACCTGATCTGCCAATTGGCCAATGTTACGTGCTGTGGAGCTTCTCCTCGGTTCGATGAGCTCCGCCGTGCTTGCAATATGATAAAATGGCTGGTCTGTCGATGAGGTTTCGCTTCATCTGGAACTCCTTTGAACGAACTAAATAATGTGGCACTGCAATTTTTTCGTGAATTACTCCTCGCTCTGTTAGATCACATGGCCATCAGAGAGGTTGAAGCTCGCGGAAGTCGCACAAGTAGACTGCGCAGGTTCGAATTTGTTAAGATGATGCGTTTGACTGATGTCGTGTCCAGCCTATAGGTATACATGGGGAAAGAGAACAGAGAGAAGCGGTAGAAATAGGGGAGAAGAAAGAGAGAAGTGAAAAAGATCTAATCAAGATCTGGGAACTTTCTCAAGAAATGACTCGGGCACTCATAACCACCAGGGTTGACATCCAAGTACTTCTGGTGGTAGGCCTCTGCATCCCACCATTCGCCAGCGGGCAAGATCTCAGTCGCAATCTTGCCTTGCTTCCACCACTGCTCTTGTACCTTCTTTGTCACATCTCTCGCGATCTTCTCTTGCTCATCGTCGTGGGTGAAGATGCCACTGCGGTACTGGCTACCAACATCGGGGCCTTGACGGTCTTCGGTCGTAGGGTCGTGCATCTTGTAGAAAAATTCGAGCAGCTTCTGGTATGAAACTTTGTCAGGGTTGTAGTAGATCTGGAGAGCTTCGGCGTCTATCATCAAAATATTAGTATGTCGCATTTTGATCTTATTCTGTCGCAAAAGGAGCAAAACTCACGTCCAGTTCTTCCAGTACAGACAGCGCGGTAGCTTGGGTCCTTTGTGTCGCCGCCAATGTAGCCGACTCTGGCATCCAGTACGGCGTCCTTGGGGAAGTGGTGGCGGTACATGTGCTCGACTCCCCAGAAGCAACCAGCTGCTACTGTTGCCTTTTGAGTGCCTTCAGGGACAGAAACGGCGCCAGGTCCCTCAGGTCCGAAGCGCATGGTTGAGGAAGTGAAGGGGCGAGAGAGGCGTGCGAAGAGAGAGTTCATGATAGGCGGTGTCGCAATCGCGATGGCGATGAGTAGGATGAGTGTGAGTGGTTTCGTGTTTGCGGTATAGCGAGTTTGTGGTATGCGGCTGCTGTTTTGAAGCGACTTTCAAATTCAAATGTGGAAAGAGGCAGGAGCGACGGTAGAATGGTTATGAGTGTTCGCCTTTGCACCTTCCAGAAACGATTGATCACACGAAGCTCTTGCTTAGCTAACCACCTTGAACAGCGTCATGGACTTGGACCCTCAATTGCCACCTGCTTCGTTCGCCTCGGCTTCTGGAACTCCGAGCCTTGGCAGGAACTCGTCGGGCACCGGTGCGGACTATCAAAATCCTGGTCCCTCGACCTTTGCGATACGTTTGACATGGGACGTGTACGTATACTCTGGTCACGCTTACGCTCTTACTCGATTGGTGAGACGACTCATCCATCACAGTCTCGAATCTTAGCTGCAACCCTTCACCAATGGTAATATCACAAGATCTCGACGACCCTCAGTAGCTGTGACTTGCAGAAACACTTGAGCCGCACATCTGGACAGCGTGGGTGACACTTGCTCGCGGATCATCTGCGATTATCTCTATGGTGCTCTCTTCGTCCTGTTCCACGTTACGTCGTCTTTCATTTTCTTCTCGAGTGCTCTTGCTAGAATTTCCAACACGAAGAGTCTCAGTAAATTTCAAGCAGGGTCATGCCCCGAGCAACAAATCTTGACCGTCCTAAGTTCCAATCTCTACCCCAACCCCACAAATCCATCAAACTCCGACCCCTCCCGATTCTTTTCCGCTGCGCATCTACTACTCGAGTACAACGTTACTTCGATCTCAGCAATCGTGTTCATACTGATCCTGATCCTTTGACGCTGTCTCAAAAGCTTCTGTATACAGCTCTACAGCTTGAGGTCCTCTGCTGCATTCCCAGTGCCAGCTTCTACTGCCGGGTACACAGCAACATCATCTTTGTACATGCAATGGCGCCTGACGGGCACTTTCTATCATGTACAACACCATAGCCTCTTTGCAGATCTGCACAGCGGTCTTCCGAAATATAGTCCCAGAGGCCGAGTCACAATTAAGCTCCTCCTATCCCGACATGACCCCAAGTGTACCCCATTTCGACCTGGTACCACGTTGCATCAAGTCCCGCTTGGTCAGAGGAGCCGTTTACTTGTCTTCTAGTCATGGCATTAAGTCTTTATCATTTTGATCTCGCGGCCTAGCACCTCATCTTGTCTCCAGGGTTGATGCTGGCATCACCGTCGCTTCCCTAGGAGCTCAAATCTGATACCCTAGACCTGGAATTGAGCGAACGCCAGTCCTGCTGCAATGCCTCCACATTAGATGCGTCCGAACGATAAGATACAAGTCTCTGTACAACTCTGTCATGAGATGCGCGGAGATGAATGAGGTTTCAAGCCGGATAATCGATTGTGCCCACATGGCTTTTGCGACAAAGGTACAAGACAAAGCGTCATACGAGACAATAGTGTTAAGCAGGGTCATGGCCAGTACATCAATAGTTTACGGTCCAAGCTTTCGTTTCTACCCCAGTTTCGCAGTCTATTCGGATTTGCTTACCCTTTTCTACCCCCCCCCCCC